TCTATAAGAAAGATAAAAGCTAGATTTACTATACTAATATATTTCGCTTAAATTTATAGCTCGAATAAAGGTAGTAGCGTTAGTTATTATTTCTTAGTAACTTAAATCTTATCTATCTTTTTCTATAATAAGAGGTCCTCTTTAAGAGACTATTATATTATTTCTTATAGCCTCTTTAAAGGGTTAAACTCTTTAGGTCGGTTTTCCTTAAAGACCTATTAGTATTATAATAACCTATAGCCTAGGGATTTATAGGCTAGGTAGCTATTTTATTTAGTTTTCTATTTCTTTAAGGAATCCTTATCTTAGTCTAAAAGGTCTACTTAAAAACCCCCCCTTTTTATCCCTTATTATTAATTTTAATAAGGTTCTAATTTAACTAGTTCCTTAATTTTTAGACTAATAGACTAAAAGGTTTATTAAGGGACTAGTTAGGCTAAACGGACTAATAGGGCCGGGCCTAGAGTAGTAGGCGGAGCTAGGGCTAGGACTAAGGCAGCCGTTAAAGATAAGGTTAAGGCTCTTAAGGGAGGAGGAGCTAGAAGGGTAGTAGTAGTAGTAGTAGCTAGGGCTATAGTAGTAAGGGCTATAGTAGCTATAGGGGTAGTAGGTTAAGCCGTCTAGGTTAAATACTAGCTATAAAGGAATAAGACTACTTATTATTATACTTTAATAGCCTCTTTATTTAGTTCTTAGCTAGCTTCTTAAAAGATAGTTAAGTAACCGTTATTAATAAGCTTTATTAATAGAGATATATCCTATAGCTACTAGTTAAAAAGAGCTTTTATTAGGAAGTATTAGTTAGCTTCCTTAAGGATTTCTTTTTACTTAGCTAGCTATATAAAGGCTAAAAGGTTCCTAATAGAAAAAGCTCCTAGGTAAGCTATATAGGTTTTCTTAATATAGTTAGTTATATAGCCCCTTAAGAGAGCTATTAAAGTCTTAAGCTTTAAAAGCTACTATCTAAGGGTCTCTTTCTCTTAAAGAGAGATTAGCTTTATAGTACTAACGGATTTTATTATCGCTATATATATAGCTATTTATAGCTTTACCTTATAAAGGTATTTCTTATAGTAACTCTTATAGTTACCTAAGATAGTAGAAAAAGCTCTTTACTATATAAAGGTTAGCTTAGAGAAAAGGGAAGCTCCTTCTATAAATTCTATTACCTAAAGATAAAGAGGGGGCTTAAGAGGGTCCTACTTATTAAAGAAGACTAAATTATAGATAGTTCTATTTATATAAGCTTATAGCTCTTTTACTTACTTATCTTAATCTTAGGGCTCTATAAGAATCGTCCTATAAACTATAAGGGCGGTAGAATTGTTTTTCGATATCGTTATAAAGAAAGGGTAGAAAGGTTAGTTAGAAATTAGCTTTTCTTATAAATAAAGTAAAGGAAAGGGCTATAAAGGATATAAGAAAGGTGCCTTTTATAATAGCTAGAAGGTATAAGAATTCTATTCCTCCTAGGCTTATAACTCTAGTAAAAGGAAATATAAAAAGTATATAAAAATATATAAAGGTAAAATTAAAAGTAAGGGGTTAAATAGGTAAGGTAGAAATATTTAATTATTATAAAGGTAGTAATTATAAGGGCTTTTGCCCTATATAGGCCTAGACTAAAGTCTAGGCTAAGTCTATATTTAAGCGGCCTCCGCGCCTAAATAGGCTAGGCCTATACTTCTCTTCCTTTTCCTATTTATAGATTATTAACCTTCTTTTAACGGACTATACCTAAGCCTACGCCTTTACTTACTCTATAATAGTATAATCTACCCTTTATTTTACCCTCTCTATATCCCTATATATAGAATAGCTATTTTTTTAGCTGCCTTTAAAGCTAACGTTTAATTACCTAGTTTAGTTAAACCGCCTACGCCGGTATATACGCACGCGAAATATCTATACTCTTATAGTCGTAAAATTAAGGCAAACGTAATACTTAGTTCGCCTAGGTAATTAAGAGCCTCTTATAATAGTAGGGCTCTATACGACTAAGAGCGGTACTACCGTACCTTAGTAAGTTCGACGGCTCCTCTATAAAGCTTAAGCTATAGCTACTTTATATAGAAGCGAAGCTCTATACCGATAGCGCCGTAATAAGGGATATCCGCGCTTAATTCGACTATCTTTATACGAGCCTATCCCTATACCTATAAAGGCATCTCTTACTATTTACGCGTACTAGTATAAATAGACTAGCCGACCTCCTCGTAAAGCTCTATACTAATTATAGCGAACCTAATATAGCTAAGTCGGTAGGCTAGGAGCTTATAACACTCTATTAAAAGTAAAGTAAAGCTATTCTAGCTTACCTTATATAGTTCGAAGAGGTGCTTTATCGAGTAAATATATATAGCTAGCCCGATATAGTAAAGTATAATTACCTCGTTATAAGCTTAAATATAGATTAGCGTACCTATTTAAGCGAAAGGTCTATACTATTAAATATATATACCGATCTTATTTACCTTCTTTATAAGCTTAGTAGTAATAAGTTTCTTTTTTTATCTTCTTCTATAGTATAAGAAAAGGATAACGCTAGTAATACTATAGATATCTCTATCTCTACCTTAAGGACTAAGGATAGAAAGAGGTAGCGATAGGAGGGTTATTATATAGGCTATAGTAGTAAATCCTACTAGTTTTTAAAGTGCCCGCGCTAGGAGGCGCGGGTAAATATACTCTAAGTAGTAGAGGGGCGTACGCGCTAGGACGGAAAGGAGGTTAGGTTCGACGATAGTAACTCTAGCGACGAGTAATCTTAGTAACGCCTTTATAGGCTTTATCGGCGTTCCCTCGCGTATAGTAATAGCTATTATACGGACGGGACGTATCCCTATAGCGACCGAAAGGGCGGCTAAGATATAGGAAGGCTGCTAATATAATATAACTATAGTAAAAGGGAGTGCCTATATAGCCCTATATAGGAGGGAGCGGAGCCTTATATACTAAAGTACCGTCCCCTACGTTATAGTACTAGGAGCTACTACCGTACGCCGATATAGGGGGGGCGGGATACTATAAGCTTACCGAAGCTAGCTACGCGCTATTTTACGTGCCTCTGCTCCCTAGCTATAAGTGCTAAAGCCCGGCTCCTAAGGCGCGGCCCCTACTAATAATATAGTCTATCCGAGAAGCTCGCTTAGGAGGGTATTATACGTTATTTGCTAACGTTTTTTCCGCGACTAGGCGTGCGTGGTCCGCGCGAGGGTTCCGTCCCCCTAAGCGCGGTATTAGGTATTATTTAGAGGGCGCCTCTTTAAAAGCTAGGTAGGGGTATAATATAAGGGCTTTTGCCCTATATAGGCCTAGACTAAGGTCTAGGCTAAGTCTATATTTAAGCGGCCTCCGCGCTTATATAGGCTAGGCCTATACTTCTCTTCCTTTTCCCCCTTATAGATTATTAACCTTCTTTTAATAGACTATACCTAAGCCTATGCCTTTGCCTACTCCGTAATAGTAATTAAGGTAAGGGAGTAATTATTATATTGCCTTAATTATCCTTCTTTCTTTTATTTAGCGCCCCTTTTTATACTTATTTATTATCTTAATTAATAAAGAAGATACTACTTAAAGAAGCTATTAATATCCTCTTAACTAGCAAGCTTTTTACTAGTATTTTCCCTTTATTTTAGCCGTTACTAGTATATCCGTCTTATCTCTCGCTACCTTTATAGGAAGCTATTACTACTTCTACTTCCTATTACGCCCCTACCCTCCTCTCTATACCTATTTTTAGCTCTTTCTTTTAAACCGGTTTTTTAGCTTCCTAGGTCCCTCTTACTAAGGGATATCTCTAAGAACTACGAAATTAAGCTATACTTCGCAATAATACTAAGGGTTAAATATAAATATTAAGAAAGGGATAGTTTATATTATAAATAACTATTATAAGCGCTATTTTTATATATAGCGCTTTATAAGTTTAAGCTATTTAATGTCTATAGTCTTTAGTAGTAGCTATAGTATACTCTTTACTATAGCTAATATAAGTAGAGCTAGGCTAGTTTTAATAGCGCCTCTATATATTATAAGGGGTCTCCTTTTAAGTAAGTTAAATTATAAGTATATTATATAAACCTTTTAAGCTAAATATTTAGCTATTAAGCCCCTTATCTTAATATAAAAGTCTTTAACTATTATAAGTACTAGGCTTAAGCTATAGCTTAAGCTATATAGTTATATATAAAATACTAGATCTTATATATTTATATATAAGCTAGCTATATATAAAAGAGCTTTATATAGCTTATTAATATTATCTTATAAGTAGTACCTATATATATACCTTTACTTACTCTATAATACTTAAGAGCTTAATAGGTATTTAAAGTATTTTAATATTATACTTCTAAGCTAAAACTAAAACTAGTATAAGGGTTACTAGGAAGGTTTAATATTATAATATAAGATAAAAAATTATTATTATTAAGTATAAACGGTGTCTTATATAAGCTTCTTTACTTCTTTAACTAGATTGTCCCTAGAGATAAGTTGCCCTAGGTCTTTCTCGTTATTAGTATTAGACTTAAAAACCTTTAGCCTGACTTGACCTGCTGCTAACTCATCCTGTCCGAGAATGATGGCAAGAGGCACGCCGATCGCTTCCTTGAATTGCTGAAGCGACTTGGGCTTCGTCTTGGCCGAATATTCTGCTCGGATGCCAGCCTTCCAAAGTTGACGAGTTATTGCCATTCGCTCGAGTAAAAGCCCTTCAAATTCTTTGCCGCCAATTGCCATCACGTACACATCCAGGTTACGTGTTACCGCAGAGGAGGTCTTTGAATCCTTCTCCGGTGGTGGCTTGAGGATGGTGAAGATGCGGTCTACACCAAACGATATGCCTGCGCATGGGATAGGACGTTTGCCGTACATGCCCACAAGATTATCATATCGCCCCCCGGCAGCAATGCTGCCAACTTGACTGGTCTGGGTTTTGCTTCGGGATCCAGGCTCTCCAGGCTCGGTTGGTGCTTGCATGATAACCTCGAATATCAACCCGGAGTAGTAATCCAGCCCTCGAGCAAGCGAACAGTCAAAAGAAACTTTATCGACAATGTCAAATGCCTTCAGATATGACGCAAGGAGGCCCATATCTTCAATCCCTGCACTCACATTTTCATTTGCCGTGAGCTTTTCGTTCGACTTGAGGGCCTCCAGCATGTCGTGAATATTGCCGCTGCGCCTCACATATTCGCCGACTTGATCTGCAACTTCATCCGAAAGTCCCTTCTCCAACATCTCCTTCTTGACATCGTCCCATGACATCTTATCCAACTTGTCTACCGCAGAGCTAGTAGGGCGTATCTTCTCCTCTGGAACACCCGCGACTGCAAATAGCCCATCCAGAATGCGCCTATGGTTGATTTTGATTGTAATGCCAAGCTCCAGAGCTTCAAAGACTTCAACAATAACGCATAGGATCTCAGCATCAGGAACCATAGGGTCATAAACACCAGCAATATCGAAGTCGCACTGGTGGAACTCTCGTAATCTACCGCGGGCGATTGCAGGCTGGTCTCGTCGGTAGACCTTAGCGATCTGGTAGCGCTTAATATGGGTAACGTGGCCGTTCATGGCCAGCCAGCGAGCAAACGGGACTGTCAGGTCGAAGCGCAAGGAGCAGAGTTCTCCGCCCTGGTCCTCCAAGTCGTACATAAGTCGTGAGTCCTCGCCGTACTTTTCAGAAAGGATCTCCTTTATTTCGAAGACGGGGGTATCGAGAGGGGTGCCGCCGTGGCGCCTGAATACGTCACTGGTTGTCTTGCTGTTGATAAGTTAGCCGGGTCGTCACTATCGAGAGATGTCATCCGCAAGACGAACAAGATTTTTTCTCGCAGAAGCAAGTCATCGCCAACCCAATCGCGGGTGCCTTGAGGCGTCTTCAACTGAACGCTTGAGCGAGACATCTTCGTAGTCCATGCTTGCCCTGTTGCAGCTTAGGTGCGGAGCTGACTGGCTTGTTATAGCCAGGCCGACGGAATAAAGCGGTGCAGAGCCAGGGAATCTGTTCTGCCACCCGCCTCCACAAACCCACAAACCCCGCGGTGACTCATCCCAGCTGCCCGGCGTCGAGATAATCCGCTCTGAGGAGGCGCTGTCAGGTGACGGGCGGTCAAGGGCGGCAGAAGTGCATGACTCGTACCTTTTGCCACAGCCTCGTGACCAGGTGGAGCCAGAGCCACGGAGCAAAAGTCACAGAGCTAAGAGTAAAAAGGGCCACCTGGAACATGGTAACAGATTGGAGCGGCTGAAGGCAAGTCTTTGGCTAGGTGCGTATCAAGGGGAAAATGGCTCTGGTGGCGCGCGCCTACTTTGTGCTATATGTCGAATACAAGGTGTCATTGTCGGGCAACCGGACACCTTGTCAAATACTTCCGGGGCGGGCTAGGTTTAAATCGGGTTCGATATGCCTCTATCGTTATATACCAATTTTTGGGGCCTATTTAACCTATATAACTCCCCTAGTCTAAGGATATAATATAGGCTTAACTTAAGTATAGGAATATCTTAATACCTTCTTTTAGCTAGCTAATTATAGTTACTATACCTATATAAGACCCTCCTTTGTCCTAATAGATAGGCTAAGATATATATTACTAAATTTACCTTTCTAAGCCCCTATTTCTTCCACTTTGCTCTTAAGTCTCTGCTTAAGATTATTAAACCTTCCTTTATATTCTACCTAGATGCCTAATATGCGGGACTGTCTTCTAACATCTTGACCCTAACGAGCTTATTTGGCTCCTGCAGTAGAGCTCGGGTGGAACACGACATGACATTGTCGAGCCATGCATAAATATGAAGGTGCTTAATCATAGCGATATCTCGTACCCGATTTCTCAGCCGTTCGAAGACGATATAAGTCAAACATATAAAATTGCGATGCTATGGACTTGATGTTCTGGCTCTGCTTCTGTAGTCTTAGAAGTAACGGAAATTTGAGACGAGAAGCCATGGGGAGATGCAAAGGGAAAATGCAGGGCAGACACGGAAAGTCCGTTACACCAACATAAAGCCTCAGGGGTCAGGGAGGCATGGATGATGTCCCACAAGGGATAGGATGGCGTTTACGAACGAGACACCGTCTTGAGAGTCTCATACATTACTCGTGGTTCACGGCACCCAATCGTCATGCTGGACCTGCTTGGCAACGGACATATACTCTCTCGCATCTCGTCGGGCCCATGGTGGCATTTGCAGTCTATTTATTGGTAACCCCCCTAGTCAGGCCAGACGAAAGCCGCATCTCCCTGTGCCGTGCCAATGCCGAGAATGTGACTCATAGATGGCAAGCCCAAGTTCATGTCATCTTCCACACGGGTCGTGGTCCGCCAACGTCTATCGGACCAGCAACGGCGCCATAGCCCTCCTGCCGCCCCAAAGGCGAACAGCAATAACCCGACGACGAACCAGCTTCCCAGGGCGGCAGCCGCTTATTCCCCAAGGATAAGATGCCACGTGCGGAGCTCGGCTTCTCGGAGCTCTCACAGCCAGGTTCAGCCTGAGAAGGCTGGTACTGTGACGACTGAGAAATCGTCCTTTGTGCTATGTAGGTGAGACTTCTCGCAGAAAAGTCGACATCTCTTTAAGCATCTTGTCAAAGGGGCTTGATCTGAATTGCTCCTCGTACAGTGCGTCGTGTAGTCCAACAAGTCGGCAAGCCGACATCGCAGAGCCGTGGTTCATCGTCCTGGTAGCCGAGGATTCGAGTGCGTGCCTGAGACAGCCGACCTAGCTGCTGCTTGGAGGAAACCCTGGAAACTCTCGAACGCGATGGGATCCGAGCCTTCTAGCCATCGACACTTGACTGAGACGTGCTGCAGTGCAACGTGAATCCTGACGTGAAAGCCCAAGGCACATATCGGCTCCGACGGGTTGTGCCCCTCGCCCATCGCATTCTCCGCTTCGCGCTTCTTCCTCCGCCGCCAGGCCCGAGCCCAGACCTTGTCGGGCGCACGACCGGTGCCCGCGAGAGCCTGCGCATCCCAGTCCCAGGACATCAGATCCAAGACACCAATGGCACCACTCAGCTTGTCAGCGAGTTCACCGATGCTGACGGGCATGGGGAACTTGGCAACCTCGGCTTCCGTGGCGGCGGGCAGCAGGTCCAGCTTGCACGAGGCGGCCTTGGTGCCCCTGGCCACGTCCTGGGCCGGCCGCATGGGCCCGAAGCTCCAGGCGACGGCCCACCGACGGGTCTTGTTGCCCTGGACAAACTCGGTGACGGCGTAGTTTCGGATGCCGTGCTCTCGCAGTCTTCCCACCAGAGTCGTAACGCTAGACAGGAACCCCAGCATGGAGGTGTACCACTGCACGCGGCGGCGGAGCACAACGGACTCGTCTAAGATGCGATTGACGAAGGCTACCTCGCCGCCCTCGACGACCATCTCGGTGAGGGAGCCGGTACAGGCTGTGCAAGGCGGTCGGGATTTCCGCTTGGCACTCTGGAGCATGGCGTGCTCGGATTCGTAAAAGGGCGGGTTCGTCATGGTGAAGTCGACGGAGTCGAGGCCAAGGTCATCCAGGGGTATGAGGGCATCCTCGGCTCTGCGGCCCACAACTTTGATGCGATGGCCGAGGCCGTTCAGCTCAACATTCCTTGTCGCCCACTTTAAGCTCTCGACGTCGATGTCTGGTCGGGCCTCAGTCACGGATGGAACTAAGGGAGGAAGCTCTGGTTACCGGTTGCAACAAAGGACCACGGACGCTGCACGCAGGCCAGGAGAGGGTAGATGCAGCTGGCACCTGTCCCAATATCGATGCCGACCAAGCTCCGGCCCGGCGGACTGTAGGACGACGTATCGAGCAGTCCCTTGAGCCACAAGATGTAGTTGTGTCTATTCGGGATCTGGGAGTCTCAGTTCCTTGTCCGGGAAAGAGAGACAAACTTCGGCTTACCGGCGGACAGAGGCGGTCTTGTGGAAGCTGCATCACCAGACCAAAGTCAAGTTTGAGCAGCGTCTTGGTCAGTTGGACGACGGAGGCGGGATCGCCAAAGTCGAGCTCGCGACCCTTTGTCCTACAGCAGCAGACGGTGAGCGGAGGCGCCATCAAGAGACGCTGCGGAACGTACATGGCGGCAAACTCTGGGTCGCATCGCGCCAGCTGCTTGAAGTCGGGCGGCTTCGAATAAAGCTCTCTGAAGCGGCGGTCTCTGGTCTCGGACAGCTCCGATGAATCTGCGACGGCGACGGCGACGGCGCTGCTGCTGTTGCGTGGCGGCGGGTCGCTGGCCTTGCGTTTTGAGGCCATCACCAACGGCGAGATTCAGGTTTGGCTTGTTTGCCGTTCATAGCAGACGGAGAGAGGGAGGCGACGAAGAAACTGGTAAGAATGAGGGTTGATGGAGTGAGTGCAGCGATTCGGATGATTCTACAGCGGCCTGGTGGGGCTACAGCCAGCACCTAGAGCGTCCGAGGCCCACTGTAGGACTCCCTTTAGGGGCTTTACAAGGGGCGAATCTGGCGACTTAGGGATTGACGCCGACATTTCCCCGGCCAACATACTTTCTCCATTGGCCCATCTTGACCGTCTTCATTATCGGTTTCTCTCTCTCCTCTTTCCTTGTTACTGCTAAAATGCCCAGCAAACACCAGGAAATGCCCGTCCCTTTCATTAAAAATGAGCCTCATTATCGTTTGCGCGCGATTCAAATGCCTTATCTTGCTTGTCTAGACCCGAAAACCATGCCGTGGTGAGACGATGCCGTTCGTCAGCGAAACGCACCGTTTGCGCCCTCGTCGTCCTACCAGAAAAGAATCCTCCATCGCCATCCCTCGAGCACGGCGATATCTTTGTCGTCCATGTCTGCGTCGCCGCGCTCGATGCGCTCGCACAGCCTCCTGAGCCTCCTCTGCGTCGTCCGCGCCGCCCTCAGCGTCACCTCGTTCTGGAAGACGTAGAGCACGGCGAAGACGAAAAAGGCCACCTTGGCCAGCTTCCCGCTGCCCAGGATGCCGTCTCGGATGCGTGCCATCAGGCCCTTTGATCTGTGGAACGCGTACTCGGTGTCGTTGGCCGATGCGTGCGACTGCTCGTCGAAGCCGCGGCGGAAGATGCTGCGCACAGCAGGAATAAAGGCGGCACTTGACAAGCCATAGTCGCCAACCGCCTTCAGGTTAGCACCAGGCGAGGCTCGTGTATTGGAAAGGTAGGCGGGGACGGGAAAGCGACTCACATGACGCCCCCGAGAAGCCATCGTCGCCAGCGCTGGTCCTCGGCTGCCTTGGCCAGGCCGCGAATCTCGGACTGCAGCGTCCTCAGGTCCCCCGCGACAAGGTTGGCCTGACCCCTGATGCGGGACTCGAGCTCCATGGCCGACGTGCTGCCGTCGACGTGCTGCCGCTTGCGCTGGAGGGTGACGTATTCGCGGAGGCCGAAGAGACAGCTGGCTCGGACGTTGCGAATGTCAATCGGACCCGCCGCCTGCACCGTGGATGTCCACTGCGTTCCCGTGCTTGCGGGACGGTCGGGGATCCGCATCGGCGGAGGCTCCGAGGTCGGAGGATAGGACGGCGAGGACATGGGAACTGGCGCCAGCGAGGCGAGCGGCGCGGCGGGATTCATGGCCCTCTCCCACGATGCGACGTCGGTCAGTAGCAGCCAACGGTGGTCGGTTTCAAGGTTCAGCTGTCGCTCAGCTCGGCGACATGAGTGCCTGCAGCGTGATGTGTCTGGTGCCAAAAGTATAAGCTGCCGGCAAGTGTCCAGGTGCGCGTAAGCGAGGGCAAGAAGTGGCGTTCTCGAGGTGGCTGGCAACGAGAGCAAGGGCTTCCTTGCTTCAGTTCCAGACCAACGACGTCAACCCAACTACCCCGCTTGCCGCCGGCTGCATACATTGATGCGCAACGACAGCCAGTTCTGTACATTATGTACTAGAATGACTTACGTCATGCCTAGGAAAGGCGTCTTCTTGTGCAAACGTGGGCGCAGTGCAGCTGTGCCGGCAGCTTCACGACCCACTTTTCCCGCCCGCCGTTTGTTCCGTCCGCGGGGCCTCCGGTTACCTTTCCCGCTCCGCTGCCGAAACGCGACCTCTTCATCCATTTCGTCTCCATCTATTTGTCTCCACTCGTTGCCATCACCACCAGGCGCCCGAAGGACGAGCGTACAGCTTCACCTGCTATGGGGAATGGTGAGTTTCGTGTGGCAGGCCATCGTGTGGCTAGCGGGCCATCTCATTTCGAACCCAAGCCTCCATAATTGAGAAGGATGAACAGAGAACAGGTGTGGAGCTGCGAGTCGCCATCTTGTCTGAGAATTAGAGTGCATTTCATCCCAGCTGGCTGTGAAAGACAATCATTCGCGTGACCAAGCGAAAAAGGAGGTGAAACGCTACAACAGATGTCAGGTTGGTGCGGAATATGTCTTGTAAAGCAAGCCTGCTGACACACATATGGCTTAGTTACGAAGTTGAACCCGACAGTATTACTCTGGAACACGTTTGCTATAGAAAAACGGTTCTGTTGAAAACCCGGTTGACCGAAGGCGCCCTGAACGGTGATGTCACCGTACTCGCTGTCTCTGCATCTGCCCGTCCCCCTAAAAAGGTGGGGCCGCAGCGGTGCACGAGTCTGCCTGTCCCGCAAAGAAGCGCATAAACACACGCACATCTGGCATCCCCGTGATTCATGCGAGGGATTTTGTCTCCCAAGCCCAAAAGACTGGCAGACTGTACATCCATGAATTAAATGCCTCCCGGAGATCGCAAACCCCGGGCCCGTCCGTCGAACCGCTTCCCGCGCCAGACCCTCTCGACCGGCCGGCCGGCACGTCGCCGCATACCGCCGACGAACGGAAGACCGGGTCGGCCCACCTGCCTACTCGGTGGCTAGCAAGGACAGCAGAGGGAGCATGATTGGCCCCCCACGCGCGTTGATACTCTGCTTCCCTGGCCTGCCCATGCAAATGCAATGTATCCTTCTCCTTTCATACTCTGCCTGTCTGCGTGGACGGGGAAGAAAAAGCTACTGGCACTCGGACGTATAATATCAGGGAATCAATGTCGTGTTAATGCGGGTTTTGCCAGTGCGTTTTTGGCGGCAGCTGCGTCTTTCGCGGCCTGTCGTTGATTCCGTGCGGCGGCACCGGCTCCAGAACTCCCACACCCTTCCTTGCATGTGATGGCGAGAGAGACAAGTCCAAGAAGCAAAATATGATAGGAAGACGACTCGCCAGGGCCTCCCCTGTCCGTCGTCATGCAACGGCGACGGGTGGAGATGCAGGCCCCGCCTAGGGAGACGCATCGATTCTGGCCTTTACAGTATTATTCCAAACAAACCCTTTCTCAAGTCCCATGAACGCCCGGAGAGCCAGATTATGTTGAGCAACTGCATTGCCGGTGTCGGGGCGGGGAGGGGGATCCGCCTCAGGGCCGGTAGATTGTGCTTCAACAACCCTTGTCTGGGTTGTTATTGCCATACTGTACGTTGCCACGGACAGCGGCTCTCTTCCAACCGTTTCCAGAGGTGGAGCCCAGTTTCTCCCAAAGGCCCCCCTTCTCCACAGTCAAGAGCTCGTCGTGATCTGCCTCGCTCGTCTCGAATCTTCTCTCGCTTCATCCTCATCCTCGACTGCGTCTCCGTCTATGCATCGCATCGCAAGCCTACCACGTCGTGAGCGCCTCTATGCTGGCCGCCAAAGCCCACACCGTCGTCAAGCCTGCTGCAGCGCGCAGCAGCGCGCCTATGTCCGTCGAGGCCGTCGCCAGGCTGTGGCATTCTCGAACCATGCGACTGGTCCGCAACAAGCTCTTCTATGAATTCGCCGTCTTCATCCTCGGCGGCGGCAACCCGCTGATCCTCTGGCTCTTCTGGCCCGGATGGGTCCTCTTCGGGCTCGCCTTCTGGGCTTTCTGGCAAGTCCTGGCCTAGCGACGTCAGTCGCCTGCTTGGTTGCGCCCATGCGCGCTTGTCAAGTCGAGCCGAATCCGACCGGCCTCTACTCCCAGGGAGGGCAACGTTTCCTCAGCCCACCATGGCAGAGATGTGCAAGCGGAGCCGACCCCCGTTCTCGCCACGACCGGAGCTTCGTCGCGACAGACTCGCTCACTTGGAAAAGAAAAAGGTGTTGCCGCCTGTATCCTTACGAATCTCGTTGGCAAAGTCCCTCTCCGGATCAAACTCTTGCCATGTGCTGGCGGGATAGATGTGCTTGTTCCTAGCATACCACCTCCGATCCACTACCTTTGTCACTTTGGGGTCGTCGGCGGCACCCTCGAGGGTGTTGATATCAGGCATCGACGAGGCTGCTGCTGCCTTCGAAGCAGGCGTGGAGAGGCGGTCCGCGGCGGGCAAGCCATTATCGGCATTCGGCGGCGGGTCGGGACTGGAGGGCACTTGGGTGCTAAAGTCAAACAGAGGACGTCCAGCGGGCCCAACGTTTTTGTTCATGACAAAGTAGTAGAAGTCGTAGTGCTGCATAGCATTAGACGGTGTTCACATGTACATAGACACAGCAGCTTACATGAGGAATGATGACGGTATCTCGGACGAGCATCAGGTCGTCGACGCCGGCTCTAGCCCATCCGCGTCTCGGGTGGCCCTGCTCGCCGTTCTTGCGCCCAACGCCGACCTTGCGGCACCTGTCGAGAAAGACCCAGACAAAGTCTCCCTTCTTCAGGCGCACGGTTCCGCCGGGAATGTGCGCGCCGTCGTAGAAGACAAAGGGTATCGCAATCTCGGTCGCCTTTATGGCCTCTTGCAGGGCCAGGTAGTCGCGTCGCAGCGCCTCTCGCTCGTCGGCCTCTTTGCGCAGCGCGGCTTTCGTGAGTGGTCTGGGGACGACTCCGACGGCTGCGTTGGCCCTGAACCGGCCGGGCTTCCCGTCGCCGTCGCCGTGGGCGGGCGTCGCATCGTCCTGGGTCGATTCTCTGGGCTTTAAAGGGCCGTTTGCGTTTTTGTTGTTTGCCTCGTAGCCCGCCGTTTGCTCCTCGTCCACCTCGTCGTCGTCATCGCCAAACGACAGGAGCTTCTTGCCCAGGTGCTGCTGCTTCTTCTTCTGTTTCTTCCTTTTTGCCGGCCCGCCGCTGGATGCGCCGGCGGAGTCGCTGCCGGGGTGGTCGGGCGTATTCGTCTGCGAGCGATCCGGGGCCGAGGGGCCTGCAAAGGCGGCTTCACGGGCTTCGCGCTCCTGCTGCTCAAGCACCTCCGCGCGCCGCTTGCGAAAGTCGGAGAGGGCGACGAGGCCGACGGTGGTCGTGGACAGCCGCTCGTGGGTTGTCTTGTTTTGCGGCGTGAAGCGCGAGGCGACCTGGTCCGACATGGCTGTCGTGTCTGTGGACGTAGAGATGAGTCGAGGCTGTTTCTGGTCTGATTATGAGAAGTCAGATGGAGGCGCCGGAGTCACTGTGTGAGATGCTGGTGCACACGGACTTGGAGTGGCTACTAGTGTCTGGTGAACTCGTGAGATAATATTACAGTGTGCACGTCTTATTCTCAGCCAGCTACCCTACACGTCGCACAAACACTCGACTTGACATGACCATGACCGTCTGCTCTATGGCAGGCTCTGGCCCTGTCTCGTGGCCTGGCCGACCAAGGAGTTAGTCGTGTCTTCGGCGTACCTCTTGTAGGCCAGCAAGTACCGCTCATCATCGCTCCAGGTGTCCTTGACACTTTGCCGATTCGCAACCGCGTCCATCCACTTCCTCCACCGAGCCCAGACCTGGTCGCCGCCGGCGGTGGGAATGCCCAGCCCGCCGGGCTTGTAGTGGTCGATGAGCCACAGGCGGCGTGCCCACGGTGCCAAGCTGATGTCGACGAGACTCATGTCACCGCCCAGGAACCAAGGGCCGGCCGGGTCCATGTGCTCCGTCAGAGCGCGAAGGTGGCCGTGGAGCTGGTGGCGCGCATCGTCGAGCGAGTAGGCCTTGTCCGGGGTGTGCTGGAGGAGCCTGTAGAATGCCGGGACGATTCGGGTGCTGATGTGGTCGATCCAGAGCCGGGCGCGGGCCTTGTCGTAGGGGCCGGACGGGAGCAACGACGGGCCATGCTTGGCCTCGTCGGAGAAGGCGTCGTTGAGGTACTCGCAGATGACGAGGCTCTCAAACAGCGGCTGCTGGTGCTTGCCGGCATCGTCCGTGGGCACGGCCAAGGTGGGAACGAGGCCGCGCGGGTTCATCTGGAGAAAGGCGGGCTCCTTGTTGTAGGGGTTGATCTCGACATACTGGTGCGCGATCTTCTTTTCGCACAGCGTGATCCAGGCCCGCTGGACAAAGGGACAGAACCAGCCGCCGTACAGCTTCAGGGCATGTTGCTGGGCGTGGCGAGCGGCCAGGTCGGCGGCAGCGCCTGTCGGCTCCGGGGGGAGCGAGGTGTCGACGCTGGCCATGACGATGAGGTGCTTGCCGGGTTGGAGGAAGCAAACGATGAGGCCAAAGAAGCGTCTTCGATGACGTGGGATGCAAGCCTTGGTCTCGGCCCCCCGCCGTCAGACGCGGGATGGAGAGTCCGTTTCCTATTTTGCCCTTGTAGTTGATGGCGCCAATAGTCGAGCGTCATTTCCGCCGCTCTCTATCGACTGCGGAAAAGCGTGCCTTGGGCATGTGCATTTCATGGTCTCGATTTGTTATGCTCCCCAGGCAGCAACTCGGAACGCTCAAACTCTCTCAGGTCAAGTTAATCGATAAAGAGCTGCCGCGTGGGAATGGAATCCCTGCCGCCCCACGCAAGAGGGAAAAATGGACAGGCCTGTCGGCTTCGTCAACTGGTGCCGGTCAACTGGTGCCGGCCAGCTGCCCCAGCACCAACAGTGAATCGCGACGGTTTGTCGACGGCTGCCCCGTCAACTGCCCTCTCATTCACTCGCCCGTATTTCAAGGGCCGCCGTTTGGCTTTTCGTCCCTTTCCCATTTATGCCCCTCCTTCAGCTGCAGGCTCTCATCTCATCTCTCTCTCTGCCTTGCAACCGCGCCGCAGAAACACACATCGATCCAGCTCAAGCTACTCAACCTTGAATCTGGACTCCATCATGGCTGGCCAGTTCTCGGCCCAGCCGGCGCTTGCAGCCAACCTGCCCACCTTGCTCTCCCACATGGGCCTCCTCGACCCCGACGGCAACTCGCAAGACGAGCACCAAGTCTCGGGCGCGCCCATCTTCACCGAGTCTGTACGCAAGTACGCACAGGGCCCCGGCAACAGGCCCTTCCAGCAATACGGCCTCCTCGGCGGCGACTCGGTCAAGATGGCCTCGTCGAGCGTGTTCACCGGCAGCCTGGTGGCGGCCGACAACGACCCGCGCATCTTCTACAACGTTGCCGCGCCCGCCAGCGTCTTCGTCTGCGGCAGCCAAGGCTCCGGCAAGAGTCACACGCTGAGCTGCATCCTCGAAAACTGCCTCATCCCGTCCCCTGCGAGCGTGCTCCCGCGCCCCCTCACCGGCATCGTCTTCCACTACGATACCTTTGTGTCGGACACGGGAGGCGCGCCGTGCGAGGCGGCATATCTGGCTTCCTCCAAGGGCGTGCAAGTCAGAGTGCTCTGCCCGCCGACCAACATTGTCAAGATCAAGGCACGTTTCATGCCTCGTCCGCGTGTGCCAATGCTCGCTCACACATGCATCGACAGAAAATATACAGCGCACTGCCGCGCGTGACCGTCGAGGAGCTCCGGCTCGACGAGTCGGATCTCAACACCAAGAGGATGCTCGACCTCATGGCCGTCAGCTCCGTCCAGGGAGGCGGCATGCCGCTGTACTTGCACGTCGTGACGCGCATCCTGCGTGACCTCCGCATCCTGCAGCAAAAGGCAGGCGGAAACTTCAACTACACGGCCTTTAGACGCGAGCTCGAGCTCCAGGACTTGGCGCCCGGCCAGATGGGCCCCCTGCAGCAGCGTCTCGACACCCTGGAGAGCTTCATGCCCCAGCAGCAAGTCCAGGTTGCAAGCGCGTCGTCCAAGAAGAAAAAGGGTCCCGCCCAGACTCCGTCTAAGAAGCAGAACGGCGCGGCGCCCGCTCCCGCCAAGAGAGCCGGCAATGTCTGGACGCCCAAGGTGAGGCTCTCACAGGCCCGCAGCATGCACGCTTGCCTGACTCTCTTCTAGGCCGGACAGTTGACCATCATTGACCTGTCGTGTCCCTGCATCACCCAGGAGGCGGCTTGCGCGCTCTTTAACATATGTCTCAGCCTGTTCCTGGAGCAAAACTCGCAGATTGGCCGCATCATTGCGCTCGACGAGGCGCACAAGTACATGACGGACTCGGACGAATGCGCAACGCTGACCGAGACGCTGCTCGCGACGATTCGCCTGCAGCGCCATCTCGGCACCCGCGTCGTGATTTCGACGCAGGAGCCGACCGTCTCCCCCAAACTGCTCGACCTGTGCTCCATCACCATTGTCCATCGCTTTACTTCCCCGGACTGGTTCCGCAGCCTGAAGCAGCACTTGGCCGGGGCCAACAACCTGGCCCAAGGCATGGACGGAACGAGCGTGATCTCGTCAGAATTCGAGCAGCAGCTCCTTGCCCAAATCCTGAGTCTCAGAACTGGCGAAGGGCTGCTCTTTTCTCCGAGCGCCTTGATTGGCCTTGCGCGTGGCTGGAGCTCGAGCGCGCTCAATGCTCCCTTTGGAAACGAGAGCCCAGATGCGCTCATCGATCTCTTGGGGGAGGGCAGCGGGCTCAAGCATGACGGGCCCCGGAGCACGGCGGCAGCGCGGGACTTGAAGAACGGGTCCATGACAGACATGAAGCCGGTGCCTCTTGGCCCCAAGCCATTGAAGATACGCGTGAGAAAGCGTATCACGGCTGACGGGGGCCGCACAATCATGGCGGCTTGACCGCATTGCACATGTCCAGCTTCCCCCCTGGCCCCCCCTTTTTTTTGGCATGCACGCTTGGTGGATTCTATCAAGGACTGGATATGTTGGGCAACGAGAGAACGACTGATTCCCCTCTGGCTGGTTACCTGGTTTGGAACCATGCATGTAATGACTGGAGTTAGAGTCTTGATGCAGGGAGTTGGGGTCTGGAATAGTCACGATAATAGTGTTAAAAGGTGTTTGGCATGTCAGACAGGGAACTGAATTGAGAGACGACGAAACCTGGTTCCTGGTGCAGATTGCGACTCCTGCGAGTGCTCGTGGAAACTGTATGGAACACGATCCGGCTGCCCTTGAATGCTAGATCGAGGGCTGTGCCTCACGTCAAGCCGTTGATGACAGGAGACGAGACCGGGCTCACCCTGTGAAATGCATGTATCCTGCTCTCTTGCATCAGGCCGGGAGAAAGCAAAGGCTCCCTCGATGCAGTCGAAGCAAGGCAGCGAATCACCCGTGAAGAAGCCATGCATGCACACACTCATGGGCCATGCAGGAGGCCCCCGTGTACTACCTCCCGTCCGTCCCACAAGCCCCCGTAGCAGCGCCCACTGATCACTAACGTCGTAGAAAGAAACGGTTCAAGCGGAATCTCATACTGTACATGACCGGAGGGCCTCCCGCAGGACGCTTAGGCGCCCGGCCATGCCTCCCCGACGCCCAACCACACAGGAAAGCCTACAGGAGCCATTCGACGGGCAGCCTAATATCAAGGAACCGTGTCGATCTGGGTCATATATATAGTCATTGGCTGTCGGGAGCGGTGCTGACTCTGGCCCGCACTGTGAAACCCTCAGCTCCTCGCCTGCAGCCAACATCACCCGCTCGAACCAAAACCATGGCACAGATGCACCGAAATTGCAAGGTGGGCTGATGGAATCCGTTCGAATGGGTTGGATGGGCAGCTGGCTTGCTATATAGTTTGGACCTGGTCGTTGCGTCTCCGACTGCTCTCCCCTCTCCAACCGCGCGTTTCCTACACCATTCTTCTCAGACAACACAGTTTCACCTCACTTTGTTCCGGCCACATCGTATTTTGAGCTTGTAGCATTTTCAGCAGGCGCACTGCCTGCCAGAGACAACCTCCAATGAACGCACTTAGTCCTGGTGAGCAAGTATTTTGTTCTGTGGCATTCCGCGCCACAGCTGACCAACAACAGGCTCTCGATCTTCCGAGAGCTCCTCCAACCTGGGGTGGGACAGTTCCCCGTCAAGCCAGAGCCTCGATGACTTCATTACCGAGGACGACGGGCTCATGCAGCTCTTGTACTCGGCGTGTAACTTCCCGGCGCTCGATAATTGCAACCGATGCTCAACTTACAGCCAAGCGGAGCCTGGTGTCTTTAACGACTCGCTTCCCGCCTGGCCTTTAGACGGTTCCTTTTTGGACTTGAGCGGCACGGACTTGACAGGCTACCCACTTCCTGCCCGTCAGTTTGCCGAGGAAGATGTGTTCAAGACAGCCTTGTCGAGTCCCTTGGAGGCTTTTTCACACCTGGACGAAGCGGCCGGACATGGAGAAACAACGCACATGGCATACGATGCGTCTGAAGCTCTCTAGAGTGAGCAATCAATGTGCCTCCCATGCGACGATTCTCCTGATCTGGCTGCTGCTTTCAAGCCTGTGGTACCCATTCACGACCCGACCATTCAGCCTGCGCACATATCAACATCGAACCATGATCTTTACCAGCCACATGAACCGACCATTGCCAACACACCTTCAGGCCCCAAACAGATATCACCAGAATCCACCAAAAACTCAACTACACATTTCGAAGAGTGGCAACTACCACATCTCCAAGACAACCAGGCCGTGCGCGACGGCGTCTGGTTTTGCCCGGCGGACGGGTGTGCAAAATCATTTCTCACGCCGGGCCTGAGGAGAAAACACCTCCGATCGCACTTCAAGCCCATCATCTGTCCCTCGTGTCCGCACACGGCGGCCACCCAGAGGGACATGCGGCGCCATGTCAAGGCCCATAATAAGCAAGAGAGCGAGAGGATTTGGTGTTGCTTGTGCAAACCCAAGAAGAGCTTCACGCGAGCCGACAATCGTGAGAAGCATTATAAGAAATACCACGCGGGAGCATGAGGCCCCTCGTTTAGACCACAAGGTTCGATAACATTACATGAGAAAGCATGTCTGCCCATTCTTTTGTATTCTGGACTTGGCAAATCATAAATCGTTAGGACAGCTGTACAACGAAAAGAGAAAATAGGAAAAAAAATTGAAAAGAATAAACCGAGAACTGAGTGAAGACGACAACATAAATAAATAGAAAAAAATGGAGTCTTGATAATTGTATGATGTAGCTCGCATTTGCAGAAAGCCAATTGCACGCAGTTGAGCGTCCTACCTTGGGTTCGAGTTGACCGGCTGAGGCCATCCCGCGACTGAGTCTTAGAACCGGGCCAAACCCTTGTTCAAGGGAACCCATATGTCAAGACTAGACGATTGGTGAAGACACTCCCAACAGTACCCCGTGTGAGTCAGTGTCGGACCCGAGGCTTGACTGCTCGTCCGCCGAGGCTGGCGCGAGAATCTAAATCAGCGACACGGTCCACGAGACGAGCTGCATTGACGGGTGCTTGTACGAGACACACAAAGCTTACCGCTCCGTCCACCGTCCAAGTTACCGTTCTGTTCACCGTCCGAGTCTCCAGAATCAAGAGCCTCACCATCAGACCCAGAGAACCCAGCCCCCTCGCTGGAGCGCGTGATCCCCGACAGCGAATCCGGGCGCGACGGGCGCGGGCCAGCCAGGACGGCGATCCTCTCGAGAGCCAGGTCGCGGATGTCGTCCGTTATACGGATGAGCACGGCGCGCTGCTCGGCCCAGCGGGCGTCGCGCGCGCCGTCCCGCAGCCGGGCCACGCCCCAGTTGAGGTGTAGGTTGCCGTGCGAGTCCGGCTCGACGCAGCGGGCCGGGTGGTGGCGGAAGTACAGCCGGCAGCAGAAGCAGGCCGCCTTGCTGCAGGCGACGAAGCGGTCATCGGCAGCAAAGGGGAGGCTGTGGGCGTGGAAATGGTCGAGCAGCTGCACCTCGGCGTGGACGTGCGGCGTGAGCCGGCCCTGGCCCCGGCCGCCGTGGTTGTTCCCGTCGCTTCCGGCATCCTCGTCCGCCTCGTCCGCGCCGGCCAGCTTGGCACGCACGGCTGCCTCCAAGCCCACGCGGTGGTCAAGCAGCGCAAGCCGGTCCTGCAACTCGGCCCGGCGCGCGTCCGACGCCTTGACCATGCGGTTTAGGATGCCCGGCAGCGTCGTCAGCGCGTCGACCCGGGGCGGGGCCGCGCACTCGGGTGCCGCGACCGGCGCCGCGCCGCAGTCGTCGAGCAGCGCTCGCAGCCGCCGCGCGTCGCCCACAAGCTCCTTGACGACGCGCACGTGCGACGCCAGGCGCCCGATGAAGTGCCACAGCGCCCGGAACGCCAGCGATGTCCCGCCGGGGGTCGACCCGTCCTCGGGATCGGCGCCGAGCCGCTCAATGCGGCGCGCCCGGGAGTCGTGGCGCGACTGGTAGGCTAGATGGCAGAGGGCCAGAGCGTTCTTGCCGTGGGATGGCTCGAATTGCCGTACCCAAGTGGCTAGGTCAGAGCCTTCGGGAACAACATGACCGTCAGAGATTCAAGCAGCCATCGCCATGGACACGGGCTGGTATTCCCTTACCTTCATCTTCCGAATCAGCCTCCAGAATTTCCCGGCACCTTGTCGCAAACCTGAACAGCAGCTTGGACTCCTTCTTGAGTCTCTTCTCGGCAAAGCCGGCATATGCCCTCATCAGCTCGCGCTCCGCCCCCTGGTCGGCGTCAGTCCCCGTGCCCCCGTCGACGTCACAGACAGCCCGGAGGCTAGCGAGGACGCCCTTGAGAAACTCAACGGCAGCGGCGGCAGACGAGTCACTGTTGGTGGCGAGCCAAAACGTAAAGTTTGCCGCCCCCTCCTCGACGGCAATGGCCGTGGTCGTCGCGCCGCCCTTGGTGTAGTCGCATATGACGGCCAGGTTCTTGAGGAAGCGCCGCCGGGCGCCCACGATGCTTCCCGGGGTGTAGCGGGTGGTGACGTGAGGAGCGCAGTCTTTGCCCAGGATGCCGAGGAGAATCAAGGGCTCGTATAGCCTGGCGAGGGCTCGGGCGTAGGGGTCTAGCCTGGGCGTCTTGGCCATCAAGATGGTCGTCCTCCTCGGGTTAAAGTCCTTCAAAGATGAGGTAAAACGGCCGATGATTTCCACTTTTATGGCGCAGCGTAATTTTTTGAATGAAGGGGAGCCGTGAAAGAGGTTGCGGATATGGCTGCGGGCTGGGCAAGGGGTGTAACCCTTGGGCTTTGACGTATCATGTCGATGGGATGATGAAGCGGACGGCGGAGGGCCTCCCGCATGTGCACCGTCGGGATGACCCGCAAGCCATGAAATTGCCAAAAAGGCCTCTGGAGCGTGAGACTGAAAGATGAGAAATACCTTGGTCAACAATGCAGGCCCGGTGTCCACAGAGCAAACAGGAACGAGAGCACGATCTCTGATATCCATCATCTTCGGCGCTTCTGTTAATCTAAGATGCATTAATACGACTCAATGCAAGTCTAGAGTTCTTTCTGTCTATCGTCAGTGCAGGCAGGGACATCTCCTTGACCTGGAGGTTGAAATCGCTTTGCTATGCCTGCCACTGAAGCGTGACGTTGAGGCAGCATTGGCAACGTCTGGCCACACACAATAACGCCACTCTGCTTTCGCAAATCATGACCTGGAGACAGCAATGCATTTACGCGGGCTTGTGCTGGGAATAGAATTCTAACCGCGACCCGGCTCATGCCTGCCAAAGTCCACCAGGCTTTGCGATGAGAAAGCTTCTCGCTGTCTTCTTTGCCATCAACTCGTACCGCCGCCCGTGGAGCTTCATGCAGCCACAGCCTGTCTCAGCAGCTTACATGGCCTAGTCATGCGTGAGTTCAAGGCAACGATCACATATGGTCCCCTCCCTGTTCTTGACGTTCCGCCTGCAACCACACCGACAAGTGCAGATAGGATCGGAGTGGCTGACAGCCCCAGGAGGAACAGACTGCTCGGCGAGGGAGAAAGGCCCAGGGGCCGCGTCATGCGGAGGCAAAGGAGTGTCGGGAGCATTGGGAGTGACAGTCTCGATGCTGTCATTGGTGCACGGAAGCCCGTGGCCAGAGAGAGAGTCAGACATGGCCTGGTGTTTGTTTTTATAGACGGAGTGGTGTCAAGATGTTGCGGTTTCGCGATCAGATGCTCAACGACTCAAAAGACACAATACGAAGCTGCGAACTGCTCTGGTGCTGGCAGCAGAGAGCGGCAGCGTCTTTTATATTCTTGCCAGAAGACAGTTGTGAATCGAGGAAAGCTAGTCTCCGATGCACGCTATCTCAAATCGTCGATGGGCCAATGTTGTGAGTAGGGTCTCCTTCGACGGAATCAGCGTGCGACGTAGACACGCTGTACATGCAGTGATGCCCGAGCCCTCTAATCAAGAAAAGCTGCGTTCGGAATGGATGAGGCACTTCAAAGAAGTTCAACCGGACCAAGTGGACCCTCTGTCCTTGCTTCACGTTCACCTCATCGAGTAACTCAACGAGGAAGCTCTCAGAAGAGCAGCACAGTCTACGACGAGCCAACCCTGGTGTAGAACCCCCGCAAGGCCTCGTCAATGACAGTCTTGACCTTGGCAGCGTCCAGCTTCTCCTTGCGATCGAAGCTGTACAGACCATTGGCCTCTTGTTCAATGTCGGTTCTGCGGCAGCAAGTCAGCACATGGTCCAGGACCCCGAGGAACAAAGTGGCGATACTCACAACTGCGTATACACAAACGCACAGCAATGCCCGCCCTCGGTGACAGCCTTGACCAGACGCTCGAACCTCGCCAGCAGGTCCTGGGGATCGCTCGCGGTCGTGTAGCCCCAGTCGCGGTCCGCAGCACCGCCCTCGGGCTTCGCCGGGGCGATGTTGACGCCGCCAAACTCGGTGCACATGATGGGCGCTCCTGGCAGATGCTTGGCGTCGCCGACAAACAGGTCCCTCCCGGCCTTGGGGCCGAGAATGAGGTCCAAGCTGGCGCAGTTCTTTTGCAGGTCGGGCCCGTCGCTGTAGTCGTGGAAGGTGGTCAGGTCACTGCAGACATGCTCCCAGCCGCAGTTGTCGTTGATGCTTCGCGTGGGATCGAGCGTCCTGTCGTCTATGTGAGTTCTCGAGGCCCATGTTCCGTTTCTCCCGACCTTTGACTTACTTGGTGAGATAGTAGAGCGCGCGGACGTGATCGCGCTGCTCCGCGTTGTCCTTGAGAGACGGATAGCCCCAACTCTCGTTGACGGGGGTCCACGTAACGACAGAGGGGTGGTTGATGGCCAGCCTGACAGACTCGGTCCATTCTTGGTTGAAGCGGTCGATGTATTCGGGGCTATACTGGTACGAGTTGGCCATCTCGGCCCAGACCAGGTATCCGAGCTTGTCGGCCCAGTAGTAGAAGAGGGGATCCTCGACCTTTTGGTGCTTGCGGCAGCCGTTGAAGCCCATGCGCTTGGCCAGCTCAATGTCGGCCTTTGCGCCGTCGGGGCCTGGCGGTGTCATGAAGGTGTCGGGCCAGTAGCCCTGGTCGAGGCACAGCGCCTGGAAATACGGCCGGTCGTTGAGTCTCCAGAGGCCGTCGCCCCGGGACCAGTTGATGGAGCGCATGCCTGTCTGCGACTTGACCTCGTCCAGGACGTTGCCCTGCGCGTCCAAGAGGCGGATGGTGATGTCGTAAAGGAGAGGGTGCTCCGGCGTCCACAGAGCCACGCCGTCACGCCAGCACCGCTCGTCGCCCAGCGGCGCGCTGGCGACGAACGAGGCAGGCAGCTTGGACCGCTGGTCCTGCGACAGGCGCATGCTGAGCTCGAGGTCGACCGAGTCGGTCTCTTTGGACAGGTGCTTCCGGTCCGACGTGGCGACGACGACGCCGCCGAGCCCGGCCTCGACCTCGACGCTGCAGCCCTGGCCCTGCCGGCGGCCGAGGACGGAGACGTGGCAGCGCAGGTTGCCCGACTCGATGTCGTTGGACTGGAGGACGGTGCCGTGCGTGCTGTCGGCGATGCTGGCGGGCGGGACGACCTCGAGCCAGACCGACTGCCAGATGCCGCCCGAGGGCGTGTAGAAGATGCTCTCGGGCTTGGCGCCCCAGTACTGCTTGCCGCGCGGCTGGGTCAGGTCGTAGGCCGAGTCGTAGACCCTCACCGTCAGCCGGTGGGCCGACGAGGCCGACGAGGAGGCGCCGGCGTCGACGGCTTCGGTCACGTCGAGCTGGAACGGCACGTGTCCGCCGCGGTGTCCGCCGACCAAGCGACCGTTGACCCAGACGCGCGCGGCGTAGTCGACGGCGCCGAAGCGGAGCACCAGCCGCCGGCCCTGCTGCTTCTCCTCGGCGGTACGCAGATCGGCGATGTCGCGCTCGTACCAGAGCACCTCGTGGACGCCGCGGTCGTCGATGCCGGACGCCGGGCACTGGAAGACGTAGGGGACCCGGATCGTGCGACGGCGCTGCACGACGCCGGCGGCGCTCGCCGTCAAGGCATTGTCCTTGTAGAGCTCCTGCGTGCCGGCGGCGATGCGCTGCGTGATGGACTCGCTCTCGGTCTGGGCGGCGGGCGCGCCGGCGGCCTGGACGGCGACTTCTTGCGGCAGGCCCGTCTGCGCCCAGCGGCTGGTCAGGCCGACGTCGTCGTCGTCAAAGAGGAAGTGCCACGGGCCGTCGAGCGACTGCCACCGGAGGCTGGTGCGCTCAAAGTCTGGGCGCGGATAGCTTGAGGCCGGCATTGCTGCAGCGTTGCGGAACGATGGGAGGGAGGCAGAACGGACAGAAGCTTCGATGCTGGCGATTGAAACAACACGGTGAATTTCCCTCGGGCCCGCGACAAGAGAAGAGAAATAAGAGAAGTCACGTCTGGGGGGATTTCGCTGAAGAATTAATTGAACTGAGGCTGAGAACGGCCACGAGCGACGAAATCGTCATTCCAAACCCGATGATGCGGCCTTTCCCCCCTCCTTTTGCTCTCCCGTGGATCCCCGGGTGGCCGTTCCCAGGTTAATCCCGCCTGTCGATGCAATCAGAACGTCGGCGCTGAGTCGGGGATCGACGGGGCCGCGGCCGGCCACGGATCATCCTTTCTGTCCACTGGCGGTCTGATGGCGCAACCATCTGGTGCACCAGGCTGCTTGTTTCAGGGCTTCTTTTGGAGAGACAGTCGCCTGCGTACCTGTAATACATAATGTTTGTGTGGGCGTGAATAGCCGCGAGGGGATTGAGTTTCGACGGATTGGCATTAAGCAAGCGAGATATGCTGGAAAACAGCCAGACCAGGCAGTGGCAGGGTAGTCCAGTCAGCCAGCTGTTCCGTCGCCGACCGAGAAGTCCCTGCCACGGCCTTTGATGGAGAATTGATGGTGTAAATCTGCTGGGCGCATAACCGGACCCCAAACAAGACCGGAAACGGAACTGAATCAAGGGCCCCGGCAGCGGAGCCAGTGGGCCACGAGCCCGCCATCTCCGCTCTCGGCCGTAGTGGAGACGCCGGCCCTCTGCTCGGCCGGCAGGGGTTCCGGGGGCCCCCTGCTCCCGCCGACGATAGGCTTCGGTCCTGCATTGGGGCGGGAAGCCACTCCCGCTGCTCTAGGCTCGGGGAAAAGAGCCTATTTTCGTCCGCAAGTAATTTATGGCCGTGGGTGGAATTATACACTGCACGAGGCCCGCCGGCTGACGGCAGCTCACATACATGTCTCTCAAGGTCACTAGAAGGCGGAGCGTAGCTTCGTTGCCCCGAGAACAGCCACCTGGGAGGTGGTGATGGCGAATGAAGAAAGGAAGACAACCCTTTGCCCCTTCGTGTCAGCAAGGGGGCACGAGGCAATTGGCCAGCCCGTATCGTGGTTCATGAATGGCTCGATGGGGGCATCGGAACATGGATTCCCGGGACTCGAAAGCATCAGGAGACAACAAACAGCCAATTTTCTCCACGGACATCAGTTATGCCTCTTCATTGGCACAATGCTCAGACCCAGCCACGATGTGTCGTCGTGCCCGTATCCAGCTGGGCTGGAGCTGCGGTCATCTGTACATACATGAGGTAACCTGCAGCGCCTTGCACACCATAGCCCCCGTGAGACAGCCTGCCAGGCACCAGGGGAACGTGGCCCCGTTGGCCGTCGTGGGCCTCGACGTTGACGGGCCGACTGGGCACGCAGCCACACTCTCGCGCCTCTGACCGTCTTCTCCATGACCCGCCAGCCCCAACGGTGGGTGTACGGACGGGTTTTGTGCCACGTACAGTACTTGGCTCCTATTTACATTTACACCACTGTCATCACGCACAGGCTCACCGCGATCGACCTCGTGCGGTTGGTAGCGAGCACAGCCTGCCGTTGACTGTCATACCGCGCATGAGCAGGAGACAAGGTCTCACGGCATCCCCGTGGCCGGCGTCATTTGTTCTTCCCCTGTGCCACCCATGGCCCAGCGGCTCTCAATCTCGCAGGCGCCATGTTGTTCAACGCTTCCGGTGGCCCCTTGACGGGGTGGCGGGCGGGAGCCAATTCGACGGGGGCAACACCCTCCCTACCAGCCAGCATTAGCCTCACAGCTTTCATTATATGTACATGCGTGTGCGAATACCCAGGCACGAGGCTTGCCGGCAGGAAAAAATAGACTATACATACGAGTAAAGTACAGTGCTCTTATCGGCGGTACCGTCATGGCCTCGCCGATTCGGAAAGAGGAGCGACCGGGTGAGCCCGTCATGTGCAGCGGAAAGGGACCAGGTTGGACGAGAGATCGTCTCCATGACATGTGTTGTCTCGGGAGCTTGGGGCAGAGGCCGCTCTGAGTAACGGGCCCTCGCTCACCGCAACGGTTCCTGGACGGTGGATTTGCCCCCGATTGCGAGGCATGGTTTGCACCTTGTCCATCTGAGTGCTTCCCCGGGCAACGCTGGGTCTGCCTGAGAAACCTTCACTCCGTTCACCGCTCGTTGCTCTCGTCAAGCTGATGGGCAGAAGAAGCCCTCGAGCACGGCGCTGTGGGCATCCGTCGTCTCCACAATGACATGGAGCCAAGCCGGCCGGCTCGGGGGCCTTCGCTCTGCCTGCCGGGGCTGCCGGGTCCCGGCCTCACACCCGCTGGGAAGCATGGAGGGGGGAGGGGCGGCACTTGGTCAAAGTACGAAGTAGCAGAGGGTGCAACGCTGCCATGATACGAAGTGCCAATACGAACATTGCCTCTCCGTGGGCTGACGTCCTTCGCCGCTGAATGCCTGCGCATCTTGATATTGGCTCCGGAGCCAATGCCCATGCAGGCCTCTTGGGCGTAAAAGATGGTTCCATGCAAATGTCTGGGCCCGAAGTGGCCTCTTGGATGCCTCGCATCCGGACGCAGGCAAGCAAGCACTGCCGGCTGCGCACATATGTATAGCCCTTTTGCCCTGCATCCGCGGCTACCTGAGTGTCCGGGCAACCGCGTCCTTGGCCACGGATGGTGGTCGAGACCTACGAAAGCCCGATGCACGCTCCGCTGCTCGCGTACGAGACTTGTGCAGGAGGATGCATCTCCAGGCAAAGCGGACGGAGAGAGACTCGGGGGGAGACTCGGGGGGAGACTCGGGGGAAGACTCGCCGACCCGCCCCGTCGGCAATCTATCCCACGATGCCATTGCAGGACGGGTCGCACGGGGTGTATCGTATTGTGCGACGGGGTAGCAGTATTTCGTACTCGGGTGAGAGGGAGTCATGGGTTCTTGCGAGGGATGATTTCCTTGCTTTTTCGTCCGTGTGCCGCGCCAGATGCTGGTCTTGGATCATGTTGGTTATGCCTGCTGCCCCCGCACTGGCCGTTACGATGGCCTGGGGAGAAAAGGAAATGGCGGGGAAAGCAGATTGAATCCCAGCCACTGTATCACGGGAGGCTGATGGTTCGTGCGTGGTGTTGGTTCAGCATCTGCCGGGGCGGCCGTGTGCATGTTTGCCGTTGAGGAGGCCGCTGCTCGTCACCGCTTTAAGCTCAGACTGTCGTGACTTGACGGGACACAAGCCGTGATGGAGAGAGAGCGTGGGCCACTAATCAGAGCGTGTCACTGTTTATGACGAACGTGCACGAGCTGACGATGCGGTCTGGATCCTTTTTTTAAACCGGGTAACACGAGGCATCCGTGATGCCACCCGCATCATCCATACCTCATGACGGTGCACAGTCGAACAAAGCCCGTCGAGCAAGGGACTGCCGGTAGACACGGCCATGAGCAGGAGGAAAGGCTATTCCTGGCTGGAAAGGGTGGACGGAAGCGAGGCCGTTTGCGGGATTGGCCCCGGCTGCGTGGGTCCGGACCAGCTCGGGGATTTTAACAAGGTTGCATGGACCACGTTGCCGAGGAGAATTGTGCAGAGCAAGAAAACAAGAGAGAGAAAAGGCTGCAATGCAAGTACAATGCAGAGCAGAGTGTGCTATCGATGCACGGTTCGGCAGAGGCTACGGCTTTCTGGATCATCGAGGCCGCCGCAGCTGAAGGGGCGCCGGCGCTGCAGTAACGTAGGATCAACAAGCTGCGCATGCACAAGGCACCGTACGTCTGCTTCGAAAGACGGCGGTCAATACTAATTACTAAGAATACGAATACATGGAGTAAGAGAATTGCAAAGTCCTTCGTCCAGTCTCCCCCTCGGCCGTCCCGGACCTTGGGCCCCGCTAAGGGATCGACTTACAGCGCTCCACTCCTCCACTCCCACTGGAGATGCCCCGGCGGGCGGGCCGTCGAGCTCCTGCTTATCCTGCTGTACAGTACGCTGCCTACCCACGATACGAGGCCCGCGCTACGTCATCCAGTAATGACGAGGCATCAAGCAGCTGCTGTTGTACATGCGCCGACTCCCGTTGGGGCCGGTAGAGAACCGAACTCGGCCCATCAAGGGTCCTCGTCGAAGAAGGGGGGCGACATTTGGCTGGCCTCCCTCTCCAACCTCCCCATTGTTCCACCCCTCCTCTCACTCTCACTCACACTACCTAACACTAAGACCATGGCTTTTGCGGCTGCAGCTTCATCAGCTTCATCAGACCTATAAGTAGGCCGAGGAGCTCCCCTCTTTCCATTGCTCCAGCCTGATCATCATCTGTCTACTGTCTCCATCGAACCAGACATCGATCAACACTCCCACTCCCTCTATCCATCCCTTATATCATCGTCACTTGCCTCACCACTCTCCTCCATCTGTTCTCCCGGCTACGCCAGTCCTGCGTCCCAGCCGCTTTACAAACAACACCACATCTACATCGCCATCAACATGCGTAGCCTCTTGGCCTCGACTCTCGTGCTCGCCGGCTCTGCCATCGCCGCACCCGCACCAGCCCCCCAAACCTGCACCAGCGACTCCGTCGCGGTATCAGAATGGAGCGTCAGCGACTTTGAATACCACGCCTCGTACGTCTTCACCACGCCGGCGCACCAAAACTCGGCCGGCACCGTCAACTTCAGCCTCACAAACGCGGCCGTCCCCTACACGGCGCAGTGCTTTGCCGCGTCGACGCAGCTGCAAGACTTCTTCTACGGCAACGTGCCCTACAAGTGCACCCTGCCCGCCGCCAACTCGGCCGACGAGGTCACCTTTACCTTTAACAGGGCCTCGGGCGAGCTCAAGCTCGAGCATTCGTGGAACTGCGCCAGCGAGAACAGCCGCTTCAAGGCCAGCGGCGGCGCCAACGTCGGTCTCAAGTGCCATGAGCAGGAGACCAAGAATGATAAGTGGCAGATGGGTCAGGAGTATTCCCGCCGCGAAATCAGCTGCGACCGCGTGACCCTGAAGGTGCCCATTACCGAAAAGAGCGGTGTTGCTTAAACGGTGATGATCTGTCGATGCGACCGAGGGAGAGCAAACATACCGAGAATCACCTGGTTTGTACCAGGTACTAATGTGTTATTGAAGGAGAAGGCATGGCATGAGGAGGATGGGCACCGATGGGTGTTTAGACCATGACTTGATGTAGATGCCGTCATGTTCGCTAGACGGGATACGATACTCTTGACGACGACGAGGAAAAGCTCACGATGGGCTAGATAGCCTTCAAAAAAAGTTTCAAAGTTCAAATTCGACGTTTCATGGTTGTGCATGTCAAGCCATTGATGCAAGGGCAGACAGAGACGCACCCAACAACAGCTAACTCGACCACTATCACGCAACCGCTCACATGTTCTGCCTACCCCCAGCCGGGTCAACATTGTTCAGAGACGACATCGGCAGCTGGGATAACATTGAGAGAGTCAGCCATGCAGTGCCTTGGTCTCTCGCGGGCCGTTCAGTCAGATATGCATGCATGCAGGCACGGGGAACGGAGCACGGCGAGCCGCAGCGCCACCAGGAGCGATGAGGAAACATGGCAGCAGCATGGCACATCGACTGGTCACGCATGTGCACGAGGCCCAAGTTATCTATTACAGTACTTAGTAGTACATACTACATACATACCTTACATACCTAGGTACACTAACTAATATGCTGCGGCTGAGCATTGGAGTCTGGTGATGATGGTGGTTGACGCCTTCCCCGCACGCTCCAGGGTCGAGATTAAAAAAAAGTGAGACATTGATGGACGGGCTAAGACATACATGAGCACGGCGAACTTGAAGATGGGGCCCGAAATAAACAAGACGAGACGAGACCAGTCCTCTTCTGCGGGATCCGATTACAAGGTGGAATTGACTGGAGCCACATAATGTCGAGAGAATTTGCGCCGTCGGCGTTTCTGATTGGCCGCAGGCAGATCGCGTCATCGGGCCCAGCGGGGCCGGCAGGTTATCTTCGGCGGGCCCAGCAACTCATCTCCAGCGGGGCTCGGCGGGCGGAGCCACTGAAGATGTATGTCTCTATCAGAGCAGGGCTGGAGTCAGGTGCATGCTGGATATCAAATACTTGGACGGCCTAATCTACAGTACAGTAAGCTCCCGTCCTCCACGTGGGTCTGCGCGCCTACCAACCTGGGTTGCTTGGAGCCTCTTCGTCCCGTCTCGCCAATGCTCCCTCGTCGGCCGCCGACTGTATGGCTGTACGCGCCTTGAGAAACCCATTTCCAGTCGACCGACACACAGCAGACGGCAGCCGCACCCTCTGTCCCAGCGTCCGCCACTGCCGCAGCCCACCCCGACCTCTTGGCTCCCCAAAGACCGCGCAATGCCGACGAAAAGTCGTCAACCAAGGGGTACGATGGCACCATCGCCGCGACCCGCTGAAGACGGACCCTTCTGGTGGGTTTCTGCAATGTCGACAGCGACAGCGACCCACCCGCGCCTCTGTGTTGTCGGGCATATAAGAACTGGAGGGTGCGGCTCCGACTCTTGTTGCACCTGAACTCTCTCCCCTCGCCGACCTCGTCAGTTGCTTCGTCCTGGGCTGGCCGCTGCGCGTGCTAGTGTCTCTCTACTGTCGATACCCCCAAGCCGCCGACCATGGATCGCCTCGTCGCGGCCCTGCGAGTTGCCAAGGGCGACGATGGAGTCACCGTCAAGAACAGCGATTCGGCCTCGGCCACTCACGACACGGAGCCTGGTCAGTTCTCTTCTCCCAGCTTCCCTCTCTTGTGCCGGCAGGGAGCCGCATCATGACTGTGCGAACCCTCTCTAACGCGGCCAGGCCATCTCGAGGTCGCCCGCGAAAACAAGCGCCAGATCGGCATCCCCTCGGCCGCCCTCCTCATCTTCAACCGCACCATCGGCACCGCCATCTTCGCCACCCCAGGCACCATCCTCTCCCTCTCCGGCAGCGTCGGCCTCTCGCTCTTCATGTGGATCGCCGGCATGGTCATCGCCATTGCCGGCACCGCCGTCTACATGGAGCTCGGCACCGGCCTGCCGCGCAACGGCGGCGAGAAAAACTACCTCGAGTACGTCTACCGTAAGCCGCGCTTCCTCACCACATGCCTCTACACCGGCTACGTCGTCCTGCTCGGCTGGGCGGCCGGCAACTCCGTCATCTTTGGCGAGTACATCCTCCACGCCGCCAGGGTAGAAGTCACCCGCTGGAACCAGCGCGGCATCGCCCTCGCCTGCCTCACCTTTGCCTTTCTCATCCACGGCGTCGCCCTCAAGTGGGGCATCCGCTTGCAAAACTTCCTCGGCATCCTCAAGATTCTCGTCATTATCGTCATCATCATCGCCCCGCTCTTCAACCTGAGCAAGGTCCGCGAGAACAACAACTTCTCCAGGCCCTTTGAGGGCACCACGGCCAGCGCCTATGGCGTCGTCACCGCCCTCTACAACGTCATCTGGAGCTTCGTCGGCTACAGCAACGCAAACTACGCCCTCAGCGAGACCAAGAACCCTACCCGCACCCTCAAGTACGCCGCTCCCCTCGGCATCGGCACCATTTCCATTCTCTACATCCTCGCAAATGTCTCCTACTTTGCCGCCGTCTCCAAGGAGGAGATTCTCGAGTCCAAGCGCCTCGTCGCCGCCTCGCTCTTCCGCAACACCCTCGGCGAATCGGCCGAGCGCGCCATGTCCGTCTTTGTTGCCCTCTCGGCCTTGGGCAACGTCATGAGTGTCATCTTTTCCCAGGGTCGCCTCGTGCAGGAACTCGGCCGTGAGGGCATTCTCCCCTTTTCCCGCCTGTGGGCCAGCAACCGTCCCTTCAACGCTCCCCTGGCTGGTCTCTTTGAGCACTGGCTCGTCACCGCCATCACCGTCCTTGCCCCGCCGGCTGGCGACGCTTACAACTTTGTGCTAAAGTGAGTGAACCCCTCGATCGTTGCAACCGCTCCCTTCTCTTTCTAGGGCCTCAAGACCTCAGTGCTGACGTATTTTGTCACCCAGCCTCATCTCGTACCCTCTCGCCATCATCAACGTCTTCGTCGCCGGTGCCCTAATCCACCTCTACCGCAACCGGCAATCCTGGAACTGGAACCCCCCCCTCAAGGCGACCCTCCCAGTTACCATCTTCTTCCTGCTCAGCAACATTTACCTCGTCGTCGCCCCTTTTATCCCCCCTGAGGACGGGCAGAACATTTATGAAAATCTCCCCTACTACATCCACTGCGTGGTTGGCTTTGGCGTCATATTCGCCGGCGGTCTTTACTGGCTGGTCTGGGCCGTCATATTGCCCAAGCTGGGACGCTACGAGCTTGTCCGGGACACCGTTGTGGACGACATCGACGGTTGGGAGAGAAGTGTCTTTTACAAGCGGCCGATAAGAGCTGCCCAGGACGATCAGCGGTCCTCGACGAGTCGTGACTCGTGACAAGCAACCGCGTTCACTCCTTTTAAGTGGCTTCGGCATGTCATACCTGGGAGCAGCTTCAGGCACCGAGCATGTGTGTCTCAGACAGTGGAGGCGACCCGGCAGGACCCTCAAGGGAACGATTGAACCAGCACCAGATTGGCGTGGTGGGATCGTCGTGGAGGGCGCCATGATACCCCCCCCCATTAGGAACGATTGAGATTGTGGGCGGCGAAAACATTGATGCAATCGGCCACCGTCCGCCCGGGCCTCCCGGAGTTTTTTGTCTTTTGACAAATCAGCATTACATGGCAAATAAGGCCAAAGGTCATGGCCGCCGGGCGGCACGTCGCTTGCTTACGCGGATGGCCAGGAAAGTCGCATTGCATTTTGGGCTCTGAGGGATCGGGGCGAGGCCAGACGCTGCGGGCTGTGGGGTGGTAACAGCCTCACCGGTCGTTCGAGGTCAAGGTGTTTCATCCAATAGAATCCGAAGTGTGCAGCTGATGACTCGGCAACCTTGGTCAAGGACGGGTGTTGGAAGAGGGGGCTCGGCGATGGCAGGACCTCTCGCGCCTCTCTTCTGAGTTTTTTTCGAATGTCGGATAGCCACGAGGCAACTGGGTGCAAGGAAATTAGACCGCCATCGTGTGTGGCGGCGGCCTTGCGGGACTTCAACCATGATCACCGCGCTTTAACGCTGCGTAATGCAAGATTTCAACAATAGCGAACTACCTATCGCGCCTTAACGCTGCGTGGTAATAGAGATTAGTGAATGGAGGGGGGGCCTAGACAGCCAAAGAACACACAGAGAGAGAGCTTGAGCTTGCTCGGAAATGGCCCGAGTCAGCCATGTTCGTCACCTCTTGGGCCAAAGACGTGCTCGAAATGCAAGCTTATAATGGCCCAAGCAGCGTTGCAGCGCGCACGGAGAGTAACACTCGCACAAACGCAATAGAGTTGCGGCGGGCAGAGAAAGGTAGAAGGGCCCAACTTGGCCGCCCGTAACACCGCAACTAAGTTAAGGTTGATCACATGTCAGCAAGATACCGTAGTCCTCGAGTGGAGAAGAACGAAGAACCGAGAGAAACAGAGGCGAGGCTGGTGTCTGAGATGGAGGGGCACGCGAATCGGGTAATCACCGAGACCCTGGAGAGACATACCTACTATTACACAGGAGCTGAAGTTTGCAGGTGATTCCCAAGGCGAAGGTCCGCCATGTAATTAGTATGGGCTCCGGCTCCGGCTTTGCGAGGGCATGCTAGGAGGGCAGGGGAACTACCGGTGTTCTAGTAGCTACGGATAATACAAGTCACGGGATTCAATGCGGACGATTCAGTGCGCTTTCAGTGGATGACGGTGGTATAACTACGATGCATGGCTATAGCGGCTAAGGTTCTTGACCAGGCGGAGGCATGAATAAATTGAATCTGACTGTCAGCTGCCACCAGCACCTCCATGGCATATAGGGTCCACTACCGGGTCATCTGTTGGAGTGTCACTTCACTTTTGCCTGCACAACCTAGTGGTTTCCTCACACTGACATACTACGTAACTCGCCGCAAAGTATCTCTTCGCGCCGATGAAAGCGAGAAGGTAAGCCCAGAGCTGCAGTCAAGTGATTGATAGCAATAAATCACGGTATAACTTATCTGCTTGCGAAATAGGATGCATTGGTGCAATACACTCAAGACGGGAACCTCGCTAGAAGCTGTAGCATCATCGGTTGGCGGCTTATTATCACCTTGAACGACGCGGCTTCGACGTAAATGCCGATCTGATGTTGTAAGCTGGCCCTTGTTTCGTCCGCCCGCGCATCGTGTCCGCATGTGCCTGAGTCCCACGGGATATTGGGATGCGACCTCGGAGATCATGCCGAGGCCGAGCTAGATGGCGGGCTTCCCCTGGCCGCGGCGCCAGCGTGTAAAGGCGTCGAGGAAGCCGTTGGCGGCGCAGTAGTTGCTCTCGGTCGCGGTGCCGCAGCTGCCAGAGAGCGAGGACGTCATGAGAAAGAAGTCAAGGGCCTCGTCGTGGCCCTCGAGCGCGTCATGTAGGTTCCACGTGCCCTGCCACTTGGGCCGGATGCCCGTGTGCCAAGCGTCGTTGCTCATGCTGGTGAAGAGGGCCTTGCGGAGGCCCATGGCCGCCTGGACGACGCCGCCGATGGGACCCTTGGCCGTGCACGCCGAAACGGCCTCGCGCACCCGGTTAACGTCTGACACATCGCCACGAATGATGGTGACGTCGGCGCCGGCGTCGACAAGGCGGGAGACGAGCTGCTGCGCCGTGGGCTTGTCGCGGTCCCGGAGCAGCCGAGGAAGACAAACTTGCGGGCGCCGCGTGACAGCATCCAGCGGCTGAGACTGCGCCCGAGACCGCTGAGGCAGCCTACGAGAAGATATGTCTTGTTGAAGTCAAACACGGCCTTGTATTGCGACGGCATGACCTGTCAAGACGGTGTTAGTGTCTGCCGCATCTCGTTTGGCATGAACTCAACGCACTGGAACGCGGCTCTGGGCCTTGTCTATGCAAACGGCAATCTTGCCCACGCGGTCCTTTGTGGTAAAGTGGCGGTATGCCTGCGCAATGTCGGCGACGTCAAACGTTGCAATCGGCGAGGGCCTGGTGATGCCCGCCCGATACAATGATTCGGCAGTGAGACTTCGGCGTTGTCAGCTTCACTATGTTTGCAGAGACTTGGGGGGAAACTCACTCGTAAAGCATGGTTCGGTAAAAGGCATCTTGGGCGTAAAAGAGCTCCGACAGGTCAAGGGCTGTAAAGGTGGTATTCTTGAGAAAGACGTGCATGTTGAGGCGGCCGGCGTCAACGAGCTCCCGCTTGCCGATCTCGACGAAGCAGCCAAACGGCGCAAGGCACGACCACGACGCGTGCATCAAGTCGCCGACGAGAGAGTTGACGACAACGTCGACGCCGCGGGCATCCGTTGCCGCCCTCAGGCTCTCGACGGCATTTATGCTTGACGTTCGATTACTTAGCGCTCTAGTTTAAAACATAATAAATAGCACGTTTGTATTTCAGAGTTAAGTTTAAATTATTGCTGAAAGATAGTGGTAAAAGCCAAAGACGTTATTTGGATCCCACGCCTTCTTCAACTTAACTAGACGGGGTAATTTGTCTCTTCCGTAGATGTTTTCTAGGCCCTCATCGTCACGGGCATAGTTAACGAAACACGTGGGCCTATTGTATCCAGCGGTGCGTGCTAACTCGTTGTGTATCTCGAGTCCAAATTCGCCAGCGGCTTTTGCGGTCGCATCATCTCCGATTTCCCATGAGAATCTGGGAACTCTAGGGGATTAGTCGCAAGTTAGCACATGGCTGTGACTGTTTTCATAACGAGCCATGACGCAATGCGAGAAACAGGGAACATTCTTACATGAATCCTATCGCATCTCGCCAAGGATACGCCGTCTCGTCTGCGCCTAGAGACGCAGTTGCTTGGTTGGGAAAAGGCTCAAATGAAAGGGTACTATTACGGCCGCCAGGATGCTCGACCAAGAACTTGCCATCTTTTTAAACGCCCTCTGATATCCAAACGCCGAGTAAGTTCCTCTGGTTGAGGCTGTAGAAGCTACGCACCGCGTTGACTTGGCAGAGCGTTCGGTCAAAGTTGCCCCCTGAAGTGGCTGTGAGCTTGTTCAACGGAACGCTGCTGATTGTGGACAAAGAAGGCTTTAGAGCGAGAATCGGAGCCAAAGCTTTGCGGCCTTCTTCTTCGGGGCCATAGGAGACCCAGTTAGCTGCGAGTTGAGTCTAAAGTGATGTCAGCACTGTGAACCGTCCATAACCTCGGGGGTGGTGTGATGACCTGATTTGTGGTGTTGTTCCACATGAAAACAGTGATTGATGCCAATTTGGCCGGCAGTTTGTTGTTAAAGGACTCGATGATCCTGAAGTACTCGGAGCTCATGCCCGGTGGAAAATAAAGGTCGACGTTCAGGACGTTGCCGCCGTTAATCAGTGGGAGAACTTTGTAAGTGGCAGATGTGACGACGCCGAAGTTGGCGCCCGCTCCGCGTATGCCCCAGAATAGATTCGCATGAGATCTCCGCGACACCTCAATCGACTCCCCTTGGGCCGTGATCATGCGTACCGAACGAAGTGCTTCGACCATTAAACCGTGCTCTCCCTATGGACTAGATTAGCTAGTTGGCGGTCGAAGCTGTGGTCTAAGCCTTGAGGCTGCGCCCAGAATCGATGCCTTGGGGTGTGTGAAAGGCTGGCCCGGAGTTTATTCAACAAGCAGGTGCCTAGGTGTTGTCTATCTAGAGCTAAGGAGGAAAAGAAGCTGAACTCGAGGCGTAGCCTCGAGTGCGAGCTTATATTACCCTTCTCGGAATGTTCTCGCAGCTTCTGGGTCCGCGGGGCGGGGCCGGGGTTGCCACCGGAGCACGACCCACCGGACCCGGTACAACCGGGTCCACCAGCCGGGCACAGCCCGTGACATTACCCCCTTGTCCTCCGACCAGGTCGGCGTCTGCGGGGTTCTTGCGTTCCTGCCAGCGTCTCGTACCTCTCCCTAGGGCCATCATTGGTCTTGATTGGCCCGTACTTGTCCTCGAATGCCTTCATCGCAATTGTTCCTTGCAACCACTCAACTGGCTCCCAAGTCGGCTCTGCGTAGCCCGTCCATCGCACTAGTGCTTGCCTGAATTCCCTCGTCCCCGCTTCTTCCATCTCGCGCAGAGAATCTCGTCGACATCCCACAGATTCGTGCCGGACTCATCTTGTACCGGTGGTGGCTGTGCGTCATCTACCTTTGGCCAGGAGCCGGATCTTGATGCGCCCGCCGCAAAGGTCAACATGAAATCGCGGGTAAATTGAGCCACGAACATCGAGCTCAACAACGTGCGAACTAATTACCTTCGTGACTGTGTACTTGTGATGCAGCCAGTCGAGCTTCTTGCACGGTCGTGGCGATCTGTAGTTTGCCATCGAGAGCCACACCTTGTCACCAACTTCAAATCGCTCCGCAGGCTGTCGCTTTGCGTTGGCAGCCTCTTCTTGTTGTTGCTGTGAGGAGGCCATCACTGCTTGCATGTACTCATTGACCTCCTGCAGGCGACTGAGTAGGCTATCAGCTCTGCTTTCCTCTCTATGCCTCGGTGGCTCTTCCGATTCCTCGACGCTGATGGGATCGACGTGGTAACCATGCTCAGCGAAAAAGGGGCTGATCTTGGTCGCTGCGGATTCACGATTGTTGAGTGCCAGCTGCGCGGCAGGAGCAGTTCTCCCAGTCGTCCTGCACGTACGACACGTAGGCTCTCAGGTAGGCCTCGATCTCCTGGTTCATTCTCTCTGGCCCTCCGTCCGTCTGAGGATGATAGGCCGTGCTCAATTTCTGCGTGACACCTGCAAGACGGCAGAACCTCTTCCAGAACCTACTTAGCCAGTTGCTCCCGCGGTCGCTGACGATGGACCGTGGCATTCCGTGAAATCGGTAATGACACTGGAGAAAACGGTTTGCACACTGCTCAGCTTCCATGTTGTCCATCACCTCGAGGGTCACAGCCTTTGTCAGTCTGTCCACAATCACCCACAGGTACCTTGCCTTGCTCGGTCCAGTAGGCGGCAGATCTGTGATGAAGTCCATGGACAAATGGCTTCGGGGTCGATCTGGAATCGGCAGAGGCTTGAGAAACCCCCTTTTCGACTGGCGCCAGATGTGTGCTCTGCCGCGGGTGTCGCAATTGGCTACGTCCCGGCGAACCAGCTGGGACTGCCCAGGCCAGTAGAATCGCCGAGCCACAATAGCCAGCGTACCTTCCCTGCCGGGATGACCGGTCGCAACAGAGTCATGCGACTGCTGCACAATGCGGGTTCTCAACTGGTCTTTCTCAGCTTCCTCCTGGTTACCCTCCTCTCCGGATCCACCCGGCACCCAAATACGGTCTCTGAATGTCAGCCTTTTGCCTGCGTCGATCGCACATTCTGAAATCTGGATCTTCAGGCCCAGCGAGGGCGGGAAGGCACGCTCGCGATCGCGGACTGCCTTATAGGCTGCCCGGAATATCGAGTCCTTCGCCACCGTTTCGTCCCAGAGTTGCTGCAGGTCCGCTACCTCGAAGACCTTCATCTTCGGCAGGGTGGATGCCTCTGAACAGTCAGAACTCATCGCGTTGATACATGCTCTTGTCGATGATGGAATGGCACTATCCGGTATCAACTGTATCATTCTTCCTTGTTCCCGCTCGTCGTCAATGCCCTGTGGCTTGTCTTGTTCACGGCGGGACAACGCATCAGGCACGACAGCCTCGCTTCCCGGTCGATACTCGAGCTTGAAGTCGAACTGGGACAATTCGGCTGCCCAACGGCTCTGCCGTTCCGTGAGCTTCTGGCGTGTCATGAAATACTCCAGGTTGCGGTGATCGGTAAGGATTGTAAATGGGCCGCAGCTCCTAAGTTCGGCGTTCCAGTTGTCGAGACATCTCATGATGGCAAGCATCTCCTTGTCGTGAATGGGATAGTTGTACTCCGCTGGCGAAAGTCGCTTCGAGAAGAAGGCGCATGCGTGTCGACGTCCATCTGGGCCTTCCTGCGACAGGACGCCTCCCAATGCGTAGCCTGAGCAATCCGTCTCCAAAAAGGTCGGGAGGCTCGGGTCCCACTGCTTGAGCACCGGTGACTCGCAAAATCGTCGCTTCAGCTCCTGAAACGCCTCGTTCTCCGCTCGTCCCCAATGAAAGGCAGTTCCTTTCTTAAGCAGGGCATCCAGAGACTGCGTGATCTTGGCATAGTCGGGGATGAAGATCCGGTAATAGTTGGCGAAGCCCAGAAAGCTTCTGACACCCTTCACCGTGGTCGGGGCCTCCCATTCGCGGATGGCGCGCTGCTTTTCGGGGTCGCAGGCGATTCCTTTCCTGCGTTGACGATGAACCCAAGGTATTTGACCTCTTGTACCGAAAACTCGCACTTCGCTGGGTCTAGGTGCAGCCCAGCGTCGGCGAGTGCTTGGAGAACTCGTCGCACCTTAGCCTCATGATCCGCCTTCGAACCGCTCGAGTAGATCAGTACATCATCCAGGTACGCTGTGACAAAGTCGTCCAGCCATTCGCGCAATACACTGTTCATGTATCGTTGGAATGATGCCGGGGCGCCGCTCAGGCCGAAAGGGCACACGAGCCACTCGTAGAGCCCAAACCTCGTGCGAAATGCAGTCTTTCCCTCATGTCCCGGAGCCATGCGGATCTTATGGAAAGCGGCCACCACGTCCAACTTGGTGAACCACTTAGCCTTGGCCAGATTCTGCAGGGTCTCCGCGATGAGGGCAGTGGGTATCGGTCGCGCTTGGTGATTGCATTCAGCGCTCGGTAGTCGCAACAAAATCGCAGCCCTCCATTCGGCTTCCGCACGAACAGCACCGGCGCGGCAGCCGCTGAGCTACTCGCTCGGATGAATCCTCTGTCCAGCAGGTCTTTCAGGGTCTTTCGCAAGACCAACAGCTCTTCTCGTGACATGTTGTAGAGTGGGCCCCACGGAAGGGGTGGCTCGTTGCCGTTCTTGTCAGGCTGCAGGTTGACTTCATGATCCACACCCGGTCGATGTGGCGGCAGCTTCATTGCCTCTCCTGGTGAGAATAGGTCGCGGAATTCTTTCAGCACTTCTGCCGGGACCTTCTCGCTCGGATCGACTGGCGGCTTCGGCTGAAGCGCCCTCTCTATATCCGACAAACTGATTGCATGAATCGAGATCGCGTTGCACTTCTTGCGTCTCTTTGCGCGTCGACATTCCGCCGTGAATACGGCTGCCGACACGAGTCTTGCGCTTCGAATCGCGCGTATCTTGGCGGGCTCTTCCTGCCCAATGAGGCGTATCGTCACACCTGCCCTCCCATGGTACATTCGCTGCTTGGCAGCATCGTACACGACGTGATTTCTCTCCATCCAAGGCCGGCCGAGGAACATGTCCTGGCCCAGGCTTGGGATCACGTATGCAAAGACACGTTCGTCAAATCCAGCTGTCTCGACCACAACAGCCACGACCCAGGGGATATGACACTCTTCGCTGACTCTGAGAATCCCCAATTTCTCGTGGTTTCGAGTCGACGAAGGGTATCCGCAGCTTCCGAACAAGGGCTTCGTCGATCACGGCATAGCAGTCACATCCACAGTCGACAAGGGCGCGTATTCGATAGCCTCGGTTTACCCGCGCGTTGACTAATACAGTCCGACTATTCATTCGTGGCTTGAACGCTTCCCAGTCCCGGATGTCTGCCTTTGCAGGCCCCGGCGCCCGCTTTCGCCCGGGGCTAGTCTTTTCCGCCGACTCGTCCTCACTGGATGCTGCGGTTGATTCCGAATCATCTGCGGCATCGGGCTTCTTCATGCGCGCAGCTTTAGGTCGCTGTTGCTTCCCTTCGCCAGGAAAGACCACCTGGGCTGGGCAGTCCACGATAAGATGATCCGTCCGACCACAGCGATAGCAGCGGCGCTCATCCTTCGGCTTCTTATCGACATGTCGACGACCCTTCGACTCGTGGCCAATACGGTTGATGTCCGTCATCTTAACATCTCCGTCGGGGTCCTCCGGTTCCTCCTTGGGTCGTTGCCTTGGTAGCTGTTGAGGCGTCCGCTCAGTCGACGTCGGCTGCCTACCGGGTTTCAGTCTCTCCAATCTGCCCGCAATTTCCTGAACTCTCGCAAGCCATCCCTGGTAGTCGTCGGGTAGGACGGCTGTGACCAAACTCTCTTGGAGGCGTGCATTTATTGCGTTCTCTAGAAATACGATCTTTGCACTGTCCGGCCAGTCTGCTCCCCGGCTTCAGCTAATGCCTGTTCGAATCGGGAAGGAAGGACGCGAGAGGTTGGTCTTCGCGCTGCCGCATAGTTCTCAGCGTGGCAGCAGCGCGGGATTGATGTTGCTGTCCTGGTAGGTTCGGTCGAGGTATCGCATGAACTCTTGGGGTCGTAGCTACCCCAGGGCCTCCGCGGCGTAAAGGTAGCGACCACTTGCTGTGGTCGCTCGTCCAAACATGAGTTGATGAGGTACCAAAGTTCGCGATTTCCACTGTAGTAGTGTGCATCAAGGTCCAGCTTGTCTCGCATCTGCCTGGCCCAGGCGGAGTAGCTCTTCCGTGAGCCGTCATACTTGGGTGGGTTGGGCAACGGTTTCCGCATTCCAGTACCGCAGGTTTTGGGAGGGCGTGCCCAAGCCAGGCGTGCTCTCGCCCAATCCTCGTGCCACTGGCGGCGATTGCAAGTCGGCGCTCTGCGGCTGCGCTCGCCCGAGTTGCTCCATCAGCAAGGAAAGTTGGTCCTGTAGAGGGCTGAGAGTCGCATTGACCGCTTCTTGAATGCGTTGGTCAATCCATTGCTGCTGGAGACTTGGGCTCTCACTCTGCTGGTCCATCCTGACGAGCAGTCTGCAGCTTGCGGTATTTAGAAGGAGCTCTAGATATGTGAAAGGCTGGCCCGAGTTTATTCAACAAGCAGGTGCCTAGGTGTTGTCTATCTAGAGCTAAGGAGGAAAAGAAGCTGAACTCGAGGCGTAGCCTCGAGTGCGAGCTTATATTACCCTTCTCGGAATGTTCTCGCAGCTTCTGGGTCCGCGGAGCGGGGCCGGTGTTGCCACCGGAGCACGACCCACCGGACCCGGTACAACCGGGTCCACCAGCCGGGCACAGCCCGTGACAGGGTGCGTCAATACCGATTCACCGGGCTTCGAGTGGCTCCTATGAAGGTGCAGAAAAGCTCACCGGGTGCCAGGAGGTACTTGAATGATTCTATCGTCCTTGGTAACACGAAGCTCTCGGCCATTCTTTAGTATACCTAGTACGCCTCGCTCGATCTGGAAGCACTCGGTTTGTAGCCAATGTATATGCCTTCTCTAGGTCATTAGCTAAGACGTTATCGACAGAAAAGGGACAGTGTCCTAGAAAAAGGAGCCGAGCTTACAGCGGCGGACCGGACAGCCCTTCTCATACAGCCTTATTGGCAACGTAGTGCGTTTCTCCAGGCATAATCACGTTGATCCCAGAAGCAACGCTGCGGGACGAAAAAGAGCAAATGCATGGAAAAGTCCGGGGATCAGCGCATCCCGAGGTCCAGGACTGGCTCTCGGAAGAGATTCGATCCATCATGAGAGACGGCCAGCTGCATGACTTGGACTACCGCGCTGACTTCCACCGGCTTAAACGCTGCCTCAATGTCGTGTACGTGACCATAAGCCTCTACACCCCTGTACCGAGCATTAAGTGGACAGGCGATGGGGCACAATCCCTCACCACTGGCGACAGAACCTTCACTCCGCCTCTTCAGACCATGATTGCTCCGAGCTGCGACTCCTTACAAAGGTATTTCTCTAAATCCAAGTCCGAAGGACTAAGATTAAAGAGCTGCTTAATAAGTAAATAATTCGACGCAAAGTTCGAAGGATTATATAGCTTTCTAAGCTCTTCCCACGCTTCTTTAGCATTATTTAGGTGCTTAATTTGCATAAGGGAACCGTCCTCAACTCGGAGGAATAATAAGGCTAAAGCCTCCTCGGTGTTACGGGGTAGGCAGAGGGATGTGCCGCAGGTGACTTCCATGTGATAACAAGCATGAAGGATCTAACTATGCGTCGCACCTGCCGCTGCTAAATGCGCGCATGTGCGTGCGGCCCGTCCTGCTCCGCACACGTAACGGCTAGGATCTAGGCCAATGCCCAGACCCTCACCAAGGGTGAATACCCTTACACCCGGTCTTAGAGTGATTTGCTTGCTCGAGAGCTGCAATAAGCTTTTCTTTAATAAGGATAGCTTTTATCCTAGTAGTTCAAAGGGTATAGTTTGAATTTCCCTTAAGCCTAGGGAATTCGTACTCCTTTTGCCCCGCCATCTTATTTATGTTCGGTAGTATAGCGTTTTTAGGGAAGGTACTATGCGTTTGATCGACTTAATATTGTTATCGTAGATAGGGCAGCGATTAAGAAGGCTAGAGGAATTGTCGGATAAGGTTTCTATCCGTGTTTGATTTCTTGGCTTAATAGAGCAAGCCGGGGCTCATAACCTCAAAAAAGTATCGTAACGGAATTTATCGGTAGATAATTAAGGTGATTAAAAATGGAGAATCTCTAGCTATCGGGCGGCGGACAAGTGGTCTTTTATAAACAATTACATCGGAACGGAAGAACCTTTCGGGGCCGGACTTAAGGTACTGTAAAGCCCGAGGAATGAGGCATTTATGTTACGACCACAGTACCGGCCATGGTCATGCGCGGAAGGCGACCCGGAACAATGGTCGGGGGGACGGACCAATCAGACGAAGGATCACGAGGATCACTCGGGTTAAGACGGTGATCATGGTGATCTAGGTGAGCCGCACTAAGGGATCACCAAGTATACGGCCGGATCACTAGTAATCTAAGGACTACGAACAATAATCTAAGGGATTATTGTTAGATTATTAGATATATAAGGATGCCCTATTCCGCTCCTTGAGACAGATAGCTCTCTAGCTTTCAACACTACGTTCCCGTGCCAGCTCGAGAGCCATTCTCAAAAAGATGCTTGAGAGGGCGTATATCAAGAGGCGTAGCTATTGAAACCGTCAATGAAAGCACAAGATTTCGTATATTTATGCCGGGGAAGAATGCCCTCTCATACGCGTCGAATACATGGAGAGAGCTAGCAGCAGATTGCTGGCTGGATTGCATAGATGAAGTAGCAGAAATCACGCGGCCAGGCCCGCGCAATCTGGATCCATGATGTGCTAAACTGTCCGCAAACCCTCCGCCCACTCCCTGCCTTTCATGACACGTTTGACTGCCGACAACGTTGAACCTCAAATGCACGCTGTGTTGTTCAAAGGCAGCTATGCTCGGGTATGTTCCCTAATGCATCGCTCGCAGATAAAGGAGAACTGGAACATGTCGAGCAGGACTCTCTGCCTAATCTCGAGTGTAGTGTCTTCAACGCAGTCGAAAGAGGAGATGAGGCACCCTTCGCCCTCGACCAAGTCCCGCGCCGCAGTGAACACCATTCGAGACTTTCTGTCCGGTCTTTGTTCGACCTAGGTGAGTTTTTCAGTGGCGATTACTCTCTAACGAGACATCCAAGGACTTACATTTGGCTGGCATGAGCGGTTGAACAGGGAGCTGCGGCGATACATGGCCATCGCGCAGGACTCCTCTAGGGTTGTATGCAGTCCCAACCCCCTCTCGTAACAGCCGAACCTTTGTGGGCACCCATTCATCACAACGAGTCAAATTCCCCGATTCTTTTACGTAAAGACCGGAGGGCTGGTTGTCTACCATAAAGGCGCTAGGGATCTCGTCAATCACGACACGCGGGCCTATAGACCCTTTTGAATTTGGCCGCGTAGATGTCTACGCAAGGGGCTTGCTATATACAAGCCAATGCTTATAGTGGCGTATATTGTTTGCCCTTTTAACAGTGGCAATATTATTTCGATCGAGGGTTTTATATAGTCGCCTCAGAGTCCTACTTGGGAGTTTATAACCGCGTAGTATACCAGCCTACAGGTTAGATATAGGACTAGGAAATTTAAATTATGGTTTATGTAACGTACAGTACATTATTGGGGGGGGGGCACTTAAGCGAGCGGGTCACCCGACAAGCCGGCAAATTAGTAGTTGTGTCGGTAGCGACTAGCAACTACCGGCTGCTATATGTTTTTGGTTTTTCTTTCTCTAGATTTCTCTTCTTAACCGCACAAAGCTCCAAGTCTTCAAATATAGCTAGTCCTTAAACGCAACTTAAACGCAATAGCGTTTTTAGGTTCGCTCAGATGGTCGTGAGACTTCGGCTTTGCATGCCAATGTGCCTTCTTGGCACCGGCAGCAGCCCCCGGCTGATGCACTGCCCAAGCAGGCATAGCGCCGTGGGGCGCGATGGGCTTATGGGGATCCGACATGTGGGGGGATCCAACGTCCAACCTCCAGGCTAGACGACTTGGCCCGATGCAGCGTAGACGAAGGCGACTGTGGGAAGATTTGCCGCCTCTATAAAATCCAGCGCCGTCAGCTTACCTGGCCACCGACCATGCCCGACGACAACTGCCTTGGCTGACCTCGCCGCGCCGTCCTTGGACCACACCGTGAGCCGGGCAGAGACGACAGGGACGATTGCTGGGACGAGCGGAGACGAGACAGACGATTGCTGGGACGAGCAGAGACTGCGGACCAAGACCGCAATGGCCGTCCAGGGCATCAAGACGAGCACGTCGCTCAACGGCTCCCACGAAGCTGCCCGCGACGACCCCCCCGGACAGCAGCGCCAATGGCTCTACGACAACGACGACGACAACAACAGCCTCCCCGCCTGTCCGCCTCACACGACAGAGCGCAAGCTCATTGCCCGCATCGACATGCGCGTCGTCCCCTTTCTCTGCATCATGTATCTGCTCGCCTTTCTCGGTGAGACAGTCCCGTGCCTGCTTCTGGCCCTTGATCATCAGGACTAACAACGTCGAACTGCCTTCAGATCGAGTCAACATCTCCAATGCAGACCTCTTTGACCTGTCTAAAGACCTTGGCCTCGGTACCACGGGCACCAAGTTCAATACGGCCCTCGTCATCTTCTTCGTCCCGTATTGCGTCTTCGAGATACCCTCAAACATCCTGCTCAAGCGCTTCCGCCCTCACGTCTGGCTCTCTGCCAATATGTTTCTGTTTGGACTCACGACCGTCCTTCAGGGGCTCGTCCAAAACTACAGCGGCCTGCTCGCGTGTCGCTTCTTCCTCGGCCTCTTCGAGACGGGCATGTTCCCTGGCGCCTTCTACCTCATCGGCATGTGGTACCGCCGCCACGAGGCCCAGAAGCGCTACTCCTTCTTCTTCAACAGCACAACACTCGCTGGTGCTTTTGGCGGTCTTCTTGCCGCCGCCATTGGGAAAATGAGCGGCTTGCGCGGGTTCAGCGGTTGGCGCTGGATCTTCATCGTCGAGGGCGGCCTCACCGTCTTCGTCAGCCTCTTCTTCTTCTTTCTCCTCCCCGACTTCCCCGAAGACTCGACTTGGCTCTCGGCCGATGAAAAAGAATACGTCACTGCCCGCCTCCGCCTCGACCAGGGCAGCGCCGCCGCGGAGCGCCCCATCACCTTCCGCGACGTCGTCGACGCCCTGTCAGACTACCGAGTCATCCTCGGCGGCTTCATGTATCTCGGGCTCATCGTGCCTGCCTACGGATATGCGTACTTTTCCCCCTTCATCATCAAGGGCTACGGGTATAGCCCAATCGCGACCCAGCTGCACAGCGTGCCCCCCTGGGCCGTCGCCTTTGCCGTTTCCATGCTCGTCGCCTACTTCTCCGACCGGCTCAGGCACCGCTTCGCCTTTGCCCTCGTCTCCATCTTCCTGTGCATCGCCGGCTTCGCCATCCTCATCGCCGTGGGCGATCACCGCAACCTACAATACGCGGCCCTGTTTCTCTACGCCACCGGAGCTTTCACTGCCATGCCCATCATTGTCTGCTGGTTCAACATGAACCTGGGCGGGCATCACCGTCGCTCCATCGGCAGCGCCTGGCAGGTCGGATTTGGCAATCTCGGCGGGATAGTCGCCGTCTTCATCTTCCAGAAAAAAGACGGGCCCAGATACGTCCCGGGTCTATCCGTGTCTCTCGGCTTTGCCGCCATGGGCACCGTAGCGTGCTCTATATACGCCTGGGCCTGTTGGAAGGCTAACCGGAACCGGAGAAACGCAAGGGCTGGCGCGCAGGCGCTGTCCAAGGAGCAGAAGACGGCCATGGGCGACAAGTCTCCTGATTATCGCTATTTACTGTAATGACGCCCTGCCGCGAGAGGAAAAATTAAGAAGAGCCATGCGAATCATCTGTTAATGTGGATATTTCATCTCGGGGTTACAACCTATGGACAGGTCTTGGACCTTTGGACAGCAGTATGTTGCTCATGTCGGCTGAAGATGATGCAGAATATGGAGAAGAGGCACGACATGTACGATGATGACCTGGAGCCGGGCTACCGGAAATTATCAATCCATGATGTCCTTGGATAGTCCACCTCAGGAAGCGTCCCTGAACTGTTCAGTTCTCTTGGGCGCTCCTTGAAAGCCCGCCAACATTGACACATATGCTTACCCCCCACGAACAGCGATCCGAACATTACTCCGCCATGGCCATATGACCAAACCCGACACCGGGGTAATCATTCATCGGGTCCATGTTTTCCCGCACCCGCGTGGCCCAATATGCCTCGTCGATGCTGTAGTTCCATGTCTTAGGCGTCTGGGCATTGAGCTCTTTCAGCAACTGTGGCCAAATGGTGGACTTGTCAGTGACACCATCGACAATCTCCCACAGCTTTTCGACCAGTTTCGAGTACTTCTGGCAAGGCAGGTCCGCCAGCTTGACGATGAGGAGCAAGAGCTTGGTCCAGTTGTTGACAAAGGGCATGTTGAAGCTCGCCTGGGCGTGACTAAACTCGAGAGAATAGTCCCGGGTGCCATCGGGATGGAGATGGCAGTCCACCCTGAGAGCGGTTTTGTCAAACGGGCTGAACACTTTCTGATCGGCCTCAATCATCTTGCCCACGCCCTCGATGTCGAGTGCGCCCCAGAGCTGCCTCATCTTGTCACGGTGGGTCTGGAGAAAGGAGCGAGACAGCCAGGTCTCGACCTCGTCGGCAAAGACTTCTTCCTCTGGCCACATCTCCCGATTCTGGAGAACAAAGGTCGCGCCCCGTTCGAGCTCCAGGGGCAGATTACCGCGGGTCCTGATGCTCAAGCGGAACAGAAGGGGAACTTCAAGCAAAAAGACGAGTGTGGCAGCTCGTTGGGCCTGCCGGACCTCGAGTCCCTCTACGGGACTTACATGGAAATGCATCACGCAGGACCTGCTTTGGTGAATTTTATTGGCCATGTAAATGGTGCAAAGAGCCCGGGCAACCCGGGAAAAGCCGTAAGTCGCCCCCTCCTCGGGTAGGATAGGCGAGTTGAGCTCCGTATTGTACCAGCCCACGAAGGCCTTTGGCCGTTCGTGTTCGAGCCCGCTCCGGATCAGCCAGTACTTGGACCTGATGTTTTTTCCATCTCTCTTGGCGAGCGGGATCGTGGACGGGTCCATGATGCGCACGTTTCCGCCGGCCAGGATCTCGAGAGGCGCATAGTCCCTGAACGACTCATGGGAACACCCGCTCTCCGACACCGCCGGCAGTTCAAGCCCCGACTGGAGCCCGTTGCTTTGCAGAGCCTGGGCTTGATAGGCGCGTCTATCCTCTCGCCCAAGTTCCCTTTTGACTCTGTCAGAGTACCCCGAAAACGGGCTTGGGAAGGGCTCTAGTTCCCCTGGTCGCGACGCGTATCGAACCTGGATGCCAAACTGAAGCTTCCGCGGCGCTGAGTTTTCTTGGGAGGCCATTATTCACGTATGTTCCTCCTCCTGCCTCTTTCAGCTCTGAATCGGATGGGTGCTGGTTAAGTTTAATCGATCTTGACAACTGAAGCAAGATGTGAAATCGGTGTCGGGTTGAAGCTCTACAACGAGCCAGAAGGTGTAAAGTCGAGGGACGAGAATCTTTGTCGCTGACTTGAGCTGCAGGGTTGGGAAGAAACTTGTCTTTGTCCTGGATTATCAAGCGAGGATATCGGGGTTGATATGCATTTCCTCGTGTACGGTGTTCTTCCTCGTCGACACGAGTCACATCTACGAGCCTTTTGTCTGAGTTTTGTTCAATTGCTGTCCGTGTTTTAAGCGACCGGGCTCTGCTTCTCCCGTCATAGCACACAGGGCCTCGCACAAGAACAGGTCGTCGCCGGACACGGCGGGCAGATGCAAGCAACTTCGAGGCTGGGGAGGCTTCCTCTGGTCGATCATGAAAATTTCTCCGCATGAATTCCCGCAGAACGATGCTAGCAGAAAGCCTAGACAGGCAGGTTCTGGCTGTTGAAGATCCTTTGTCTGCACGGGTGGATGGCTCTCGCCACTGAGAGGTGAGCTGTTACCACCCCTTTCCGTGCAGGCGTGCTTTTGTGCAGCCTCTGATCATTCTTTAGGTTAGCTAAGAGACATGTAAGATGCCGTCAAATCATGCGGGGAAATCGGAAAGGATATTGCCCGATGCTGAGAAGGAAGAGTGCTGCTCAGGGTGCACGAGCCCTGGATGCAGCTACGTCTGAGCTGCAGATGCGACTCAGCTGTCCTAGAACACCAGCTGGTATGAGCTAGAACTCATGGACTATCCATGACACGGCCCCTGGACGTGGAACACTGCGTAAGTACCTTTAGCACTTCCCCAGTTGTTCAGAGGCTTTGGCTGCAGGTACCCGTCTTCTCTAATCTCTCATGTCACACACATACGCACAGCCTCAGTATATGTAAAAGAAGGTCTTTGAGCTCCGCCTCTCCTATCTACTCGCCTGCTGAAGGACCCTAGATGTGGCAACGGCTGTCGACCGTTACTACATCGGGCGGAGCTGGCTGTTGCCAAAAACAAGCTCCACGCGAGACAACCTGTAGCTTGCTTGACCCGTGGCACTCTCTGGGAGGTGAGGCCGAGCACATGAGGCATTGTTTCCCCATTGTCCCTCAAAAGGGGATGCCCATAAATGTGTTTCTCGACGAGTTAGAGTCACGAAGTTACGGCAACCACCCTGTATTTAACTCTATATCACCTTCATCTGCCACGTCCTCACTTCTGAGACTTTTCACCTACCGCGAGTTCCTCACCCAGCTGGGGCGGGTTCGTGTTTACTCGTAGGTGGCCATAGTAGCGGCACTTCTCTTAGTAGCGGCGATAGAAATGACCCTTCTCGTTGTGCTTGGTTAGTGACCACATCGCATAGCGGTTGCTCGAATAAAGGACGCCGCAATCAGCGCCTATATTCCGCATCGTATAATACTGTCTAGGTCTACATATTTCATACATAGAAGCGTTTATACCGCTCCCCTATGTCTTGGCCTCTGCTTCTGGTATAAACCCTCTACGTATACTTACAGTTGCCCAGTAGCTAGTAGGTTAGCCATACCGGGCGTCTTAGGACAGGTAGACGATTCGTTAATAGCGGTTCAACATTTGAAGATGGTGTGACTCTGAGGAGCTCAAACTACTCTGCCGCGTATATTACGAATGGACGAGATTGGGTTGCGCATTTTCCTCCTGTCTTTGCGGGATTTTGACATCTGTCCGGGCAGTATTGGATCACTCCTGCCAACTCAACGGGTTGGAGGAAAAACCCAGGTCACGAAAATATATACGGTGCCAACTAGGCTGCGCCAGAGTTCTTCGCCTTCGAGGATAACCAAAGGTCGTTGTCCCGCTACGATAGGAAAGGACTAAACTAAACTCCTCCCTCTTAAAGTCTTCTATTCTTCTAAGCTTAGAATAACACGTAGAGGGTGCCGAGGCTAAATCGTCTAGCGTATCTGCCTAGTTTCTATAGTATTTAGCACAAGTAATTAAGTAGATGGAAACTAGACTAAAGATAGATCTTATATTATTTTAGTATTACAAGACCGGGTAAGTAACTTGGCTACTATGCCCGCTTTGACGATAGCTGCGGCGAACACCCCTTGACAACCCCACGCCTACGGCGGCAGCAGCAGCAGCTACAAAAGTAGAGGAACGAGGAAGGCTTAGGGGTTAGGAATGGGGAGAGAAGAAAAGAAGAAGAAATCGAGGGATAAGTAGGTGTGTAAAGAAGCCGCCTAGCTGGATAGAGGGCTATATGTACCGCGCGGTGTGTCCTTGGGATTGTAGACTGCCCCTGCCAAACTAGGTAGAGCCTTGGCTATTAATATTGATATTATGGCATGTTTATTAACATACCTAATGTTTGTAGACTGATTAGCCACGCTTAATAGTTAGCCTTCCTTATATAGTGTTGTAAGGGAATGGCAGGGGGAGATGGGGTCCTAGCTATAGCTACGACGCAGTGTCGGCTGATCGCTCCTGGAGCAGCTTAACATAAGTCGGAGAAGCATAGGTACGGAATATGCCGGGCCATGGAACTATTGAAACTTTAACGCTGCATGGATATCAAGAAGTAACAACTTATCGGTTCACCGATAATTCAGGCAGTGTAAGGCAGTTGCATCCACGACGATAGTCGTTTAAGGTGATCAAAATAGTACCAATCAAGAATGGAAGTTGCCGAAGAACAGAAAATGAACGAACAAATACACAAATTCATACAACTCTTAAGATACCAATAAGGGCTTATTGCTTGCTTAGACAGCAGCCAAGCTGCAGTCCTAAATAGGGACAGCGTCAAGCCGCCCATGAGACCCGGTTCGGGCAATTGCCTCGAATAACATCGTATGACCTTTCAGATGTTCAAGGGAGCGCTCTGTTGGGCCCAAATTAGTTCCACTTTAGCCTTCATTGCATTGGGAGGGCTCTGTAGGGAATAGAGGCAATACGATATTAGACATAATATCGTCTTATCAACAGCCATACTACCCCTACCTTACCCTATGTCTATATACTGCGCCGAATGGAGAGTAACAAACCGGCAGATTTCATTTTCGACTTACCGGATGTAGACAGAAAAGACTGGGGCATTGACCATGACTACAGCTTCTCACGCAAGGATGGCTCTGTTCACTTCGACCGACCCACCTGGGACATCTCACTTCAGGAGTTGAAAAAGTGCGGGGAGAATATTAACGCCAAATGCTTCGATAAGGCGAAAGACCTACTCAAACACAATCGGAAGGGCAACTATGACTATAAAGCTGCTGGTCACGGTTTCGTGGAGCCTGCCAGAATGCAACTTGTTATGGGTGATCGGAAGAGCGCAGAGCTTAAATACATCAATTCGGTTATTGAACGTGAGAAGCTTCCATATGACCTTGGCTGGAGAGGAAAATCCTACTTTCCAGATCTTTTTGATGTCTTGGACGTCGCAGTGAAGAAAGTGGAAGCTTCGGAAGTCACGCAACATACCCGTGATGGTACTGTGACCGACAAATCTGTAAGTCTCGGTATACGTTACGTTAAATGTCAGCTCTCATGGAGAAATAGGACCTTATTTGTGTACTGAAGTCGAAAAATCCGAAATTTTTAAACGATGTGAGAACACTCATTAAGTCGGCTGGCTATACGAAACCATCCATTGAGGCAGCAATTAAACGACTCGAGCAAGATAAAGCCGTAAAAGATTGAGGGTGCTAATTCTAGGGTCGGGAGTTATTGTGCCGACATGGATAGCCCGGTCCGGCGGTCCCTGTAACAGCTATCCTTCCCTGTCGGTTTCGCCATCTCCATTCTCGTCACATGTCTCTTCTCATTTAATCTTGCAGAATATATTTCGTTGATGCCACTGAGCTATACAAGAAAGATTGAGATGACCAAAGGTGGGAAATAGCAACAGCTCTTGAGCCAGGGGCTTAGGAGCTCGTGTTTGTCCGGGTTTCTTGTCACGTCATTTAGCTACGCAAATGTAGAGTGCATACTCCAGCAGACGGTGCTGCAAGTGACTATTATAATTGACTGTTTTTTCTATATGATGTACTCCCAGCTGTTTGTGGTTACCAAGAAGAGCTGGAAGTTAGCGTTGATTATAGTTTCGTATGTAAACGACCCTGGTGTAATTACTGGCCCTAGCCCTGGAGCTGGCTCTGGAATTATTGCTTTCGCTCTGGCTCTTGCTCTAGCTGCACAATTACAACTGCAGGATTTGGAAACAGCTCTTATGGAACTATTCTTAGGAAAGGCAGTCTTTGTGTTTAGGTGGAAGTTCCAGGAGGGAATAGCAGTGACCCCGACCCGCTTATAACTGTCATGTCATTTTGCTAGGCAAAAGTAGAGTGCACACTCGAGCAGATAAGTGACTGTTATAGCTGACTGTGTTTTACTCCTTGTCACCGAGACCAACGTGGTTCCCCGACGCTGTCATGGGAGCCATCAATTTAGTCCGAAGCGTTACATTTGCTCGTTTCGCTGCCTGATTTCTTCGATGAACTGTGAAAAAAAATTGTGGATGGCACGACGCTCCTTGGCATCAAGATTAAGTTCATCGTGGTTGAGGTGATATATTAGTTCCGCCATGGGAGAGTGCTTGTTTCCGCTAAGCATGTCCGGATCAACCCCCGTGATTTTAGCGGATCGAAGAATGTCGATAATTTCAGTATCGCAGCTATAAGCAGCATAGTGTAAAACGGATCGCTCGTGGCAATCTACCATGCCAAGCTCAGCACCATTCTCGACAAGTATGTTGACTAAAAGTGCGTTGCGATTCTTAATCGCGGCCATGATGGGCGTTTGACGGAAATTGTTGCGATGATCAAGGTTGACCCCAGCTTTGACGAGAATGTCTATGCATTCCTCCACCATGGCTCGTTTTGGACTGTTTCGCCGCCAGCGTCGCGTGTCGAGCTGAGCCTTGACATCGAGCGGAGATGTTTGTCCCCACTCACTTATATCAACCACGAGATGGGCGCCGTTGTCCAAAAGCAGGCGCATCAGTCCTGGGTTGTCACAAGCCCCAAGTATCGCCGTGAATTCCAAGTCGGCACTTCGATTGTTTGGATCAGCTCCGGCATTCAACAGAAGCCGTCCCATCTCTATTACGGCACTGGATGCCGGCAGTGTAGTGAGCCATGTAAGGGGTGTTGAACCAGTGACATCTGTAGCGTCTGGGTTTGCTCCGGCTTCGAGTAGAGCCCTGATGCCTTCAACGTCTTGTCCAATTACGGCGTAGTGTAATAAAGTATAACCCTTGTTGTCGCGCCTGTCTATATTTGATTGAAATTCGTGGGCCAGTACCGAAAATAAATATCTGTTTTCCCCTCTGAACAAACCAAGGCAAGCCTCGGTTTCTCGGCCAACATTGTCTTGGACACGCTGCTTTGCAAGGGTTCTGAGGAACCTCGAGAATTCCGGGTATTGTTTCGAGTCTCGAACAAGATGCATGTGAGCTATTGATGCTACCGATCTGTATTGTATTAGTCTTGGCAATTAGACGAACTGACGACACCATCTCCGCATACCGGCCCCATTTGTCTCGTGACATTGTGTCACAACCGCCGCGAAGGAGAATCTGCGCCATGCTGTACTGTCTCACAACGAGACAAGACTGCGCAACCCGTCAGATTGTGCTTCAAGGAAGTTTAGAAAACGACTTACCGCCACAAGTGAGATGCCTTGGTCATCGACGTCTGTGGGAAGTATAGTACCATTGGAGAGGTTCTTAACAGTCCATTGAACGTCACCTAAAAGAATAGCTCGCCATACGTAGTGCCTGCTGAGAACCCTAGGCACTCGAAGGTGAATTGAGGCTCCGGCACCGGTGAGACTGCCCCAAGCTGTTGTGAACTCGATCAACCGGCCCAGCAACCAAGTTGGAAACACATAATGCACTATCGCTGAAGACGGAGATTGGGCTTTGCATGCCTGTGAATCGCAGGGTCTTAGACCAAAGATTGGAATCGTGTTATAGTGAAGAAACAAACATCCCAATATGGGTCTCAGCCAGCTTGGAGAGCGAGCAGTTGCGTTTTGGTGGCAGCTGCATCTGCATAGCACACTACACGTTTGGCCAATCGTGGTTTCGAAGGAGACCGTAGAGGCCATTATTTCATCGTTGACGTGGGACGGGCCCACGATGCTAGCAGACTCTTCCGATTTAGTCTCGTGAGTGATGCATTCTCCGATCCGTCGTGACTGTGCTTTGCGGCAATCGGCTTCAACGAGGCGATGTAGATATTCCTCTATCGTCTTAAAATGATCCTGAGCTGTCCTTGTGGTCCAATCGTGATGACTTCTAAATTCCGAAAATTCCTGAGAGAACGACCAGGCTGTGCTTCGGATATCGGCAGCCAGTCTGGTCTGGTAGGTCCTGCAAGTGTCATTCAGCGTTTGCATGCAATCCGTGACCGGATGGAGTGACGTACACTTGTGACGGTGTCAATGTTGTAAAATAGAGTACCAATGTCTCCCTAATCCGCCGAGCTTCTCGTCTCAGCCTCCCAATCTCGTCCTTTTCTTTGTGCCATCGGAACCTTGAGACCTTGGACTTTTCGCGGCCGTTCGACGGCTCGAGCTGTTCAACAGGCTTCTTGATCCGCTCGCATAGACTGCCCAGAGCGACCACGATTCTGCCAAGATCGTCTTTTAGAGAGTGCAGACAACTGGCACCAATACCCATTCCGGCTATGTCAATATTTGCCCGTAGCGATTGCTCCTCGATATCTTTGAGCACGCCTTCGACTTGGTTAACAACGCCGCGCAGCATCTGAAGCTCATTCAGAAGGTCGCAGAATTCGAGGGGAATTCGATCAAGCTCGCGTATGAACTTGATGCCCTTCATGATAGCGGCTGAGGCCTGGCACAGCGCAATAATGCTGGCGGTAGCCGATAATGGGTCCATCGGATCGACACCGCGCGCCAGCGAAATGGGGATAAAGAAAATAGGTGGACTATAAAGACTTGACGTGGAACAGTGAACAGATTGCGCTCTGGAAGAGAAAGAACTGTTTGCCCCCATGCAGTCTCGTGAGGTTTCCTATGACCTCTCTCGCGAGGCCGACAGGTCGGAGGCCTCCGTCCCCCTTGTTTAAAAAGAGCCAATCATCTCCCCTTTTAGGTAGAAACTTCAGGCTTCTCTGCATCCGGTCTCCTAATGCGTGAGACAACAGGGTCACGTCGGCGACTTGGGGATTGAAATAGCTGGGGCCAAGTTGCTCATTGTGCCAGGGTCAAGGGTCGAGATGCAGCCTTACTGGGGTACGTACGGCATGCTCGTCAGTCCAAAAGTCGATCGACGAGGCTGGAAGCTGAGCTCTCCCTGCAACAAGCATCTGCCAGTATCAAGCCCGGCCATTTACGCCACACGTATGCGTGCTTCGCCCGGGCCTGCAGCGTGCTCCGCCCCAGCATGGGAACAGCGAGCAATGAGACAGCCGATCCCAAGAGAGTGAAAGCAGCGCACAAGACAAGCGGTGTAGTTAGCTCTCCTGGACTCTACGAATTATGTTTTTTCCCTCTCCCAGACGCCGCGCGCAGACCATGAGACCATTTGCCTTGAGGAACGAAAGGCTCTTCCTTCCGCGTTCGTCCTTGCCCAGTGTTCTTTGTTCTTTGCCATGAGAAACGAAGGGGTGAAAAGATCTTTCTTTCTTCCGACAGACACACACACACACAATTTATTACGCCCGGTGGTGGAGCCAAAAGAGCAATCGACTCTTTTCGTACATGTACACTCCGAAATGTCTGCTTCTTGCTTCTTGCTTATCTCTCAGCGGGTTCTCGAGCCCGTGTTAGTAGCAAGTCAACTTGAAGCAATTCCTTCAAGTGCTCAGTATCCTGAAATCGTGCTCGCTGTCGATGGCATGATATGTTAGTAAGGTTAGTCGGGGTTGGATGAGTGATAGGGGTTCTCGCCTCTGCGAATTATCTTTCCTCAAGTCGGCCTGTGGCTAAGCGAATCGTATCGAGGGGCGGACAGCCTCCATATCTGAAGCCCAGTTTGGGCCGCCTGATGCTTGCTTTCCTCCGTGGTAGAATGAAATGCCGCCCCTTAGCATATCGGTGCACCGGAGCATTTCTACTCGGTGTGCTGTCCAGTTTTTACATCAGAAGCGAGAATGCGTTACTGTTTCTCGTGCTTAGCTGCATGGACACTGATTCATAGATGAGGCCTTGATCCGATTTAGATACCCAACGTACCATCCCTGTTCCCAACTGGGCCAGCACACCGGCCTCCTTCCTTGACATCTAGTCATAGAGCAGGCGGCTATGCTCTCCTGGCAACGCCGCGTCGACCATCTTGGAGTGACTCCCCCACATGGCCTAGTAGAGTCCTTTCCTCGTGCTGTTCCAAACTTGCTTTATAAGATAACTAAGCTAGGGGAGCTAAAGTAGTTCCTAGGGATACGAATCCTTTAGAATAGGTCCTAACGGACTATCCAGCTTACCTAGGACGCCTATATCGATAAGGTCGCTTATAAATTCCTCCCTAATTCCCTCGATAAGAAGCTTCCCTCTACGCCTATATTAGATAAAGAGCTTTTTACTTAATCCGTCCTTTTAAGCTAGGGAGTAAGAGAAATACCGATATTAATAGAAGGTAGGCTCCTTACTTTTTTTTTTTAGCTATTTCTACTAGACCGGATATCTCTTTTATAGTCTCCCGGCTAGCTAGGCATAACTAGAATCCTAGCCCTAGGCACTAAGAAGTAGTAGATAGAGCTATCCTTTATCTCTATTTAACGAGATTATATAGTCTATGCCTAGGAGGGCAGGGAAGGAAACTAGCTACCGAAATCTTCCTTTATTCGAGCGATTCGTCCTTTATAGATAATTCCTTAGATAGAAAGAGCTTATAAGGGTATATTATATCCCTTTTTAGAGGAACTATTGCTTAGAGAGCTTTAAAGCAAGCTACCGTTACGACTTCTAGCACGGAGGCAGAGCTACTAGCTCTTTTAGAAGCGTTAAAAGAAGCTATTTTCCTTAGCCGGCTACTAATATCTTTATAACTATAAATTCCGACCCCGTTAGCTATAGAATGCGATAATATATAGACTATATAGATTCTTATAGAGGAAAATAGTAAGCTATCGACCTAGCTATAGTATATCGATATCTACTAGTATTAGTTACGCTAAGAGGTTTAAAGGGGACTTATTTCTATCCGTTAGGTTCTAACGGTATTAATAAAAGCCAACGGTCTTATAAAGCCCTTACCGAAGTAGAAGCTAGCTGTCTTTTTATAGTAAATTAGGCTAGAAGACGTTTAAGAGAAGCTATCCTTAGAGGCCCGCCTTAAGAGTCGACGAGAGGAGCTAATAGTACGTAGGAGGAAGGAGACGTCTATAACCGAAAAGAGGAATTAGGACTTATCCTAGAGGAGGGCCCCTAGCTTAATTAGGACTTATTCTTTTTAAAGGCCCCTTTTAAGGGATTTATCCTTAGAGAAGCCCCCTTTTCTTATAGGATTTAATATCCTCCTTAAGGCCCCTTTTTCCTAAAAGTAGGTTTAAAAGAGCCTAGGGCTAAAACCCGGATTTCTTAAGTAAGGGATAAGTATAGACTAAGACCTCCTTTATACGCTTACCGGCCTAGGTATTTAGCTTTACCCTTTCTATAAGGGCAGGCCATAGCTAAGGGGGTGTATCGCGAAGCGTAGCTTAATTTCGTAGTTCTTAGAGATATCCCTTAGTACGAGGGACCTAGGAAGCTAAAAAACAGGTTTAAAGAAGGAGCTAAAAGGAGGTATAGAGAGGAGAGTAGGGGTAAGAGGGAAAGTAGAAGTAGCGATAGCTTCCTATAGAGGTAGCGAGAGATAAGACGGATATACCGGTAACGGCTAGAAAAGAGGGAAAAACTAGTAAAAAGCTCGGTAGTTAAAAGGATATTAGTAGCTTCTTTAAGTAGGATCTTCTTTATTAATTAAGATACTAGACGGGTTTAAAGAGGGGCGTTAAATAAAGGAAAGAAAGATAATTAAGGCAATATAATAATTACTCCCCTACTATAATTACTACCTTTATAAGAATTAAATATCTTTACCTTACCTATCTAACCCCTTACTTTTAATTTTACCTTTATATATTTTATATATACTTCTTATATCTCTCTTTACGAGAATAGTAGGCTTTAATCTTATAAAAGTAAAGGAATTACCTTTTTAAGAAGATATATTTTAATTTTAAAAGTAAATAAGATCTTTATTATACTTAGCTTTATTTACTAAGCTAGGTATCTTAAATTATATAATTACTTATACTAGATTTACGTCTAAGCCTAACTAAACGTATTATAAGGCTTTAAATATAATTATAATATCCTTTTTACCTATCTATATATAAAGGGTTTTACTAACTCTAGCTAAGCGTTAAATTTAATAAATAGAAAATCTTTTTCTAGTTACTATTTTTATATAGATAATAATATAATAAGCTAGGCTTACTTTAAGTAGAAAGCTATTACCTTTTTTACCTACGAAGTAAAGTATATTAGCCTTAGGGAGGTAAATAAAGAAGCTATTTATTTAAATATACGTTTTAAGTATATTACTAAGGATCTATTTATTAAGATTCTTAATACTATACCTCTTATTTTAACGGATAATACTACTGCTATTAAATTAGTAGAAAATCCGGATTTTTATAAAAGGTCTAAGTATTTTAAATTAGCCTATTACTATACTAAAACTAGTATAAAAGAAGGGGAAATAAGAGTTTTTTATATTAAATTAAAAGATAATATAGCTAATACTTTTACTAAAGAATTAAGACCTAGATTACTTTATAAATTTAAAGACGGTCTATCTTTAAAATAAGTTCCTATATAATTAAAAGGGGTTTTTAGATATTTCCTATACTTTTTATATCTTTTCCCCTTACTAAGTTTTTCCTTTTATTAGGTTTCCTAGAGAAATAATTACTAGGTTTTTATTTATAGAGATTTTCCTAGTAATAATAGGTTTTATTTTATATAAGGTTATCCTATAAATAATTATTATAACTATAGATTTTTCCTATTATAGGTTTTTCTATTAGTATATACCTAAGGATTTATTTTTCCTAAGAAAGAATAGGTTTTTATATATCCTATTTAAGTATAAAAGTAGTTTTCCTAATTTAGGGTTTTACCCTATATATATACTACTATAAATAAATTAGTAAAGAGTATATAAATCTACTCTTTAAGGGAGGCAATAAGGAACGGTGTTTTCCTATTATAAATAAAGCAGCTATAATATACTCTCCTAATTATATAAGCTAATAAGTAGTATATTAATAATAAATAAAATCCTATCTTATAGAATAAGAAGTGCTCGTTTTTTATATATTATTATATATTAAATAGGTAACTAGTTATTATATAATCGGGAATCGAAGGAATAGAGCTAGCTTAGAATATTAGCTAAGACCTCTTAAAAATACTAGTACAACTAACCTTCTTTAAACACGAATATTAGTAGAACTAAGATACTTCTAGCTATACTTAAGGTATTACTAAATTCCTTAGTCTTAGGGCTATATAGTAGCCTAAATCTAGTCCCGAAAGGTTCTTACGTTTAGCTATAATTATCTATATAAGGTAGTATATCTACTAGTAGATAAAGATAGAATTATTAACTTTAATACCTCTTTTATATACTAATATACTACTAATAAATCCCGTTAACAATCCTACCTTATACTCTCTCTTCCCTTCTATTACGTAGTCTTACTTAATTCCTTAATTTCCTAAAATTCCGCTATTACTTATATACCTTTAAAGGCCTTTAAGCCTTTCTTAGCTAGCTAGGTAGCTAGCTTATTATTAAAGATCCCTAGGTAGCTAGGGTATAATAAGAAC